CCACCCATCACCCACCCACACAAACCTTACTACACACATCTCATATCTCACTCACATCTCACATCTCACTCCAACCTCCAACCTCCAACCTTCAACCTCAATTAGTAAAATCCACTTCCACACCCACCCACACCTTCACCCACTTCAACATCAACAACATCAATCAATCACATTACTTTTCTCATCCGAACATCATCAACGTGGATCAATCAATAACTTCACTTCATTCAATCATTATCAATTCATCTCTTCAATACCAGAATTTATTTTTTTCGAATTGCCGAATGCGATTAATAGCTTTTTAATTTAGTATTCACTTGGCATCATTGGAATAGGTGGTGTTGCGACAGATTGTAAGACCTAGGTAAATAAAAAAAAGTTGCAAACGCGCATTTCCACACTTCAATCACAACTTCCAACTACAAGCAAACTGTTGCGCACAATCAAGAGTAAGTACCTCACTAATCTTATCTCCTATCATCTTCACGTCTCTCTCGTCTCTGCTTTTCTCGCCTTGGCGCAGCGCACTGCAAGAGGTCGTGATGGTACCTCCAAAGAAAGCTGGAATCCTAAACCTTCCAATTTGAGTTTGCTGACCACCTAAAGGCATATCATCCAAAACCGTTTCGAAATCGCATCAAAGGTCGATTAATACACAATGTCTATGTACAATCATCGCGGTTTGGGTCCTGCCCCGGGTACCGCTCGATTGAATGAATTATTGGATGGCATTCGCGCCGAATTCGATACACAACAACGAGCAAGTGGGGAATATGAACATAATAGTGAGTCGCACATCAATAGCGTTGGGGAGGTGATGAGGATGATGGATGGGAGGATGAGGAAGGAATTCTGTGGAATCTCCGACTTACTGTGGTCATGATCTAATATCCGGCGCGATGCTAATATTATGTCTTCTTAGTTGCACAACAAATACAGGAGATGCAAATGGTTAGAGAGAAGGTCTATCAAATGGAACAAACACATCTAGCTTTGAAGCAAAAGTAGGCTTACGGATTCACATAGAGAAGCTTAATTTTGCTAACGTTCAAAAGATATGACGATGAAATTCAACGCCTTCGCCATGAACTCGAGGCCAGAGGAGGCGCTTCTCGTCCACCTGCTATGGGGGGCCCTCCACAACATGCTCCATCTCAAGCACCACCAGCAATCGGACATGGTCCAAGTAATCTTTTTGGAGGTATAATGGCTGGTCAAGCAGCTCAAGGAGGTCCAGGTTTGGCTCCTCCGCCACAACAACAAGATGCGCAAGGCCCACTTCCACCACACGCGATGCCTCAACCACAACCGACCCTTCAAGGCCCTCCACCAAATCAACAAGGTCCTTTCCAAGGTGGTTATCCTCCACAAGGTCCTCCACAGAATGGTCCATATGGTGCTCAACCTCCTCAATCAACCGCTTCCCCAGGTCCCGGCAAAGGAGGCCCACGCCAAAACCGTGGTCCAGGTGGCCCAGCAACTCCTCAAATGCCACAACAATTGCCATACAATAACGATCCTAGACAATCACCACAAGTCGGTCATCCATTAGCTGGTATCGCTCGTGGACCTCAATACCCAGTCGGTAATGTGGGAAACGCTTTGGCAGAGTTGGACCTTGAACGATTACCACCACAATTTAAGAAAGTAGAGGCCGACTGGTTCGCGATTTTCAACCCCGATGTTCCAAAGATTCTTGATGTTGATCTCGTTCATACCCTCATTCACGAATCTGTGGTTTGTTGTGTTCGTTTCAGTCATGATGGAAAATTTGTCGCAACTGGTTGCAATAGATCCGCTCAAATCTATGATGTTGTCACTGGAAACAAAGTTTGCGTCCTTCAAGATGATTCTGTAGACTCCGTTGGAGATCTTTACATTAGAAGTGTTTGCTTCAGTCCAGATGGAAGATATCTCGCTACAGGTGCAGAGGATAAATTGATCAGGGTATGTTTTCCCCTCTTTTAAAATATTTCACGTGCTAACTATAAATAGGTTTGGGATATTGCTACACGAACCATTAGAAATACCTTCTCGGGACATGAACAAGATATCTATTCATTGGATTTCGCTCGTGATGGTCGTACCATTGCTTCCGGAAGTGGTGATCGTACTGTCCGTCTTTGGGATATTGAAGCTAGTCAAAACATTTTGACTCTTAGTATTGAAGATGGTGTTACAACCGTCGCCATCTCACCTGATACCAAGTATGTCGCTGCTGGTTCTCTTGACAAGAGTGTTCGCGTTTGGGATGCTGCTACTGGTTACTTGGTAGAAAGACTTGAAGGTCCAGATGGTCACAAGGACAGTGTTTATTCCGTTGCATTCGCACCAAATGGAAAAGACCTCGTTTCTGGAAGTTTGGATAAAACCATCAAGATGTGGGAACTTGTCGCTCCAAGAGGTGGTCACCCAAATACAGGTCCAAAGGGTGGAAGATGTTTACGTACATTTGAAGGACACAAGGTGAGTGATCATTTGTTTTTATGTTCAATCTTTTGTGCTAACAAAATTTGATAGGACTTTGTTCTTTCCGTCGCCCTCACTCCAGATGGAGCTTGGGTTCTTTCTGGATCAAAGGATAGAGGTGTTCAATTCTGGGATCCAAGAACTGGCAACACTCAACTTATGTTACAAGGTCATAAGAACTCTGTTATTTCCGTGGCACCAAGTCCTTCAGGAGGTTCTTTCGCTACTGGTTCGGGTGATATGAGAGCGAGAATCTGGAGTTACAAGAACATCTAATAGACTGTTGGTGTAATGAAAGACTTGTGGTCGGAATGAAAGTAAGAAAAAATGAAAGAAACCCGAAGAGGATAGGAGAAGAAGAAAAATAAAAACATGGTATTGTATCATACCAAAGGCGAGGCGATCAATGGCGTACTTGGTATGTTGAACCTGGTGAAATGGTATCTGATTGACTCTTGATTCATTGAGAAGTTTTATGTTGGCAAGTTCATGGTGAACTGAAATGGCAATATATCTCTGAGGGAGGTTTCTCATTTGGATGTTGGGGATGCGATGCATGCATGGGTTTCGTTTGTCTTATAGGAATTACTTGATGGGAAGGGAGGGAGAAATGAAATATATTTGATATGATAGATCAATGAGATGTAATTTTTTTCCAAAAGTGAGATGTGGTTTCTGTGTATTGTGAATATGATGTGATGTGTTGTATAGTAAGAGAGGAGGTGTACTGATTTATGTCTGAAGTGCTTTAATTTGTTTGTAAAATTGTTATTGTTTATTATCTGTTACTTTTTCAGGCTCTCTAAAGAAGTTCAATTTCATTTTGCGAATCTCGATTTACATTTACATTTACATTTACATTTACATTTACATTTACATTTACATTTACATTTACATTTACATTTACATTTACATTTACATTTACATTTACATTTACATTTGTAGTAACATCTCCATCCATCCATCCATCTATTCAGACTTTAAGGATTCATTTGTTATACACCTTGAGAGATTTTTCATTTTTATTACCTACATAAGAAAGAAAGAAAGAATTGTGAAGTTTTTTTAAGTTTTTTTTGTGATGGTTATGGTGATGGTGATGGTGATGGTGATGGTGATATTTTCTTGATCGGAATGGATCATTGGATTATTGGATTATTGAATAGATAGATAAATGTATCATGAGTAAAAAGAAATAGAGAAATAGAGAAATAGAAAAACGAATTTGTAGGATTATATATATTTGTGGGTTTGAATTTTGGAAAGAGGGATGGGTATTTAGGTAGGTAGGTAGGTGGGTAGGTAGGTAGGTAGGTAGGTAGGTAGGTAGGTAGGTAGGTAGGGTTGTTATGTATGTATGTATGTATGTATGTAGTTGGTTTACGATTGGTTAGTTGGTTGGTTGGTTTACTTTGTATGTATGTATATATGTGGATTCTTGGGTTGTTGGTAGAATTCGAATTGTTGAATTATGTAGTATTTTAGTATTTGTATTCTTCGCTGCAGCTGGGAATGAGTATGAGTATGAGTATGAGTATGAGTATGAGTATGGGTATGAGTATGAGTATGAGTATGAGTATGAGTATGAGTATGAGTATGAGTATGAGTATGAGTATGAGTATGAGTATGAGTATGAGTATGAGTATGAGTATGAGTATGAGTATGAGTATGAGTATAAGTATGAGTATGAGTAGGGTTTATTATAGGTATGCTTTGGGTTGATACTATCTATTCAGCCTGGAGGATTTTGAGAGATGCGGAGCCTGGAATTCACATTGATCAAATTCTAAGCGGTGAAGATGGGGGAATAGGGGGTAGTGATAAAAGGGAAGTTGTGAGTATGTTATGTATCTAGGTATGTTGGAGTACTGTTGATTTCTGATCTCGATGGATATAGTACTGTACACAGGTATCAACTCATCTTCTCATTTCATGCAAAGAACTCTCCTTAACGATCCAATTCACATCTAGCGGAAAGAATATAGCAGAACGACCTGACAGATAGCAAAACAATGACCTTTTGAGAAATTCGAGTGTATGGGTTGAGATTATTGATCAAGTACGATGAGATTATCATTCCCATCCATCATAGCAATCATAAATTAATTGACTCCTTCATAAATATGATCCATCATCTATGCTTCCCGAAGTTCAGATTTTCCCGGTTCTGTTTTATAACCCCGAAGTAGGATTAGGTCTGAATACTTGTACTCGACCGTCTACGTCTGTAGATTTTGCTCGAATGGAATCGTGGCATTGAACTTCCCAGATCTCGACATGGATCTTAAGCCCACAAAAAACGGGCTGCGATGAAAACCAAGGCAAGGGGGTCTTGGGATTTTGGACTTCAGAAACTAGCTGCAGTCAATTAAACGATTGATCAAAACTGGTCGCGCTGTTAACTCTCAAGGGGCCAGCTGTCGTGGAGATAAGCTGCAATAGGGTCAATGAATGGAATCCCTATGACCCCTGATTGCGCAGAGAGATTTGAGGTAAATATCGATGTTGGCATCCAGCTCGACTGCTGTAACTCAAGACTTGCAATCATCAAAAGGCCACAACTCCTTCACATCCTTCTCGGTCATTGACTCATCTTCACCTTTGCGTGCAGTTTCCAACGCAAGATCAAAGATTTTTTTGTGAGCACGCCTTACCTCCTCCCAGCATTCAATGGGCACCCATCCGTCAGAATTTGTACGTAGAAGTTCGATAAGCATCAGTTTGAGCTCCTGGACGTGTTCAAAAGCCTTGTGTTCTTCCTGATGTTTCGCAAGCTCTTCCGGAGTAGGACGGTAAGGACATTTCCCAACTAAACCCAAATGATTCCAATTCTCTGCGAGATCAAGAAATTCCTGCCGCAACGCAGTTGCACTATCTCTCCATGAAGTGTTGGAGTACTGAAATGGCCGGACAAGCAACTGGTGAACTGATCTCGCCACCCGCATTTTGGGAATGAAAGCTTTCATGCAAATTTCATATGCCTGATTACTGTACGAAGCCACCTTTTGCATTTTGATGTCTTGCTCGGATAAAGAAGGTTGGTGACTTGAAGCCGCTTCTTCTGGTGAATCTTCAGGGGCAGCGGCAAAATCTGGCACATCATTTGCATATGTGAACGCGGGTTCAATTGAGCTCGATTGCCAATCAATAAGACATGTGATTAAGGTTGGGTCTTCGTCCGAAACATAAATGTTCCTGGCGTGTAAGTCTGCATGGAGTAGAGTTGGTGCCGAAGCATTTTCAATTTGTGGTTGCGTTATCAGTTTTTGAAGTATAATCTGAGCCAAATCTAGGAGGTTCCGGTGCTCCTTGACAGTGCCGAAATAGGATGGTCGTGATAGATCGATTTGGGAGGAGGTGGATGGAAGTTTAGAGTGACCATTGGCTACAAGACCCGATGCATACGCTGCGAGATTCTTCCCTTTTGGCTTTGTTAGAACAATGGATGATATAACAATGCGGAAATTTCACATACAAGGACCAGCAGGAACCGTAAGACCCTTTTCCGTGTGGCTGGCACTGCGATCCCAATATGTAGTTGAGCAGTGTGGCCCAATACAAAAGCCTTCGCTAAGGGGTATCTTCAAGGTCGAGTCAAATGGTGCGTTCTCAAAATATATGCTCCCATATGCTGGAAATTCAAGTGCTGCCAACTGCTTCATTGTCATGCACGCTGATTGAACACATCGGGTATATTGACTTCCGGACATGGTAAGCCATCGTTCTTGTAATTGCACACCCTCGACGTGTTTCATGATGATGTATTCGCTGCCAATGGGATTACTCGCGTCATCTGACCAAGCGAGAATATGGGGCACGGGAATTGTAGTATGAGATTTCACTAGATAATCGGTCAATCACCAGAGCTGGAGTAGCCCATGCAAGAATTACAGTATACGTCATGCCTACTAACCATATGCAATGGTAGCAACTTCGGAATTAGTGGTCAGAGCCGACGGGCCTGCGACTCGAGTTGGCAGACGTGCCACTACTCGTTTCCCATTATTCAAGAGAAATATGAGAACCCTGTTGAAACCACCCTCCTTTTTCTCGTAACTAATTATGTGCGAGGCCTCTGAACATAATGACAAGACTTTCTTGCAAAGTTCTTGGAATTGGAAATCGACACGTCGCAAGGCGCGCTGCTCCTTATCCCGGTGCACCCATCGTCCGCTCGTGTATATGAATGGGAAAAGGGCTGCAATGGATTAGCAATAGAATGCAGAATTGAAAATATTGATCTTTACGGTCTTTGGACGGCGCCTGGATATGTGGTATAGTGCTGGATCTTGGAATGGAGACAGATCTACGAAAAATAGCATGGGACAGTAGTTTGGAGAACATTGCTGGAGACAATGATGACTGAGGTGAATGAATGGAAAAAATACACGGGACAATTGATGTTGAAAGAGAAGAACAAGCTTTAAGTAATAAGTTCAATTAGTTTGTCGCCCCGGCCATTTCAATCGCTTCCCAAGAATTTACCCAAGTCGTTAGTATTACCGACTAAAAGAACTTAGATAATTCTCCGTGAGACTTAATAGATTTTTTCTAGTACAGGGTATTTATACCTATCATCTTCTTTCCTCAATCCTTATCACTCTCATATCTATTGTGTCGAATATCTGAATCCTGGAAGAATTAAATCCTCAAACAATCAAACCCTCAAGTAATCACATCCATTGCCGATAAATTACAACGATACCTACTACGTGTCTCATCAAGCTGCTGCGCTTTTTGATTGAACTCGCGTCATCCAACAACCTCGCCCCACACACATCGAGCCCTAGCGCCATTTTACCCTGGCCCGTATTAATCAATAACAACACCGGCTCGCTCACATCGGAATGCCCCCCTCTTTTTTGGTCCGCAAAGTCTTCAAGGGCCTTTTCCGTCTCGATAGAGCCCTCCTTCCCCGCCCACCACCCAAATCCCATCTCGCGTGTCTTGCAGCTCGCCGATCAAACCCGGCGGATAAGATTCGAGTGTGGTGGTGGAAAAAAACTCCTATGCAGAGGAATTCTGCAGTGGTTGATATACCTCTCACTTTTGGATTTGTTCTGTTGATAGGAGTCGAAGCAAAGAACGTATGGACAAATTTCAGAGGGAGGGATGAGAAATGTGATCAGAAAGCTCATGAGGATGCAATGGAAATTGAAATGGGGCACTGAGATGCGAGAATAGATGAGAGTCTAATGCGGGGGGGGGAGGGGTTATAACACGGAACAGCACCAGGGGATATATGGAGTTGAAATTTGGTATCCTGTATACATTCGCAAGATTAACGTGGTGCCTAACATTTTGATCTATGTGATGCGCTGGATGGGTAGTTGTATATTACTGGGCAGGTTGTACGGAAATCACGAATGACGGAACTCCTGAATAGTACTCGCTCCAGACTTCTTGATGTTTTGGAGTCCAGAGATGGCTGTAAGATTCAACAGCTAGAAGGGTATGTAATGGGACTGGGTTTCTATTGGATTGAGCGGGATTGGAGTTGGTGACTGAACTTCATATATCAAATTGGTTACGGATCCCGAAATTGTTCGAGGGACACAGGATTGTAGCATTTATTAGGACTGTAGACAGGATGTGAATGGTAGTTGAGTGAAAGTTATCCATTGCACACACATGTCAGAGTGTAGATTGTAACCATGTTATAAAGAGATTCATTGTTTTCGGCTCATTGCTGTGGTGGAACGTTGACTTGTCTCTTGATTTTAAATAAGAATGATCTCTTCACAATCTGACTCAAGCTCCACCCCCAAAAAGAATGTAAAAGTGTGGGTGTGCATGCCTTTAAGTCTGCTCTTCACAAAAAGTTAAAGTGAAGTTGAAATTTACACTTGTTGATATGGAATTAAATCGGATAGTGTGAATGAGGAGTTGGTGGTCTCACAACATGAATTCACTTAAGGTTATCAGAAATGTATATATTCAAAAACGTAATTATACAAACAATTTCTCAGCCAAATCCAGCTTTTCTCTAAGTTAAAGCTCATCCATCCACCTGCTCTCCTCCCCAAAAAACCATAGACACTTATAATCCTAATTTCATGAACATAATTCCAATCTCTCATTCCCTTCTTTCCCTATTCCCCTTTATCTTTTTGGCCCTCCACCTCGCCTCGTTGTCTCCGGTTGAATTTCAGTATAAAAAGAAGGCATAGCACCATCGCCATGAAAGGATAGTATCTTTTTTTCTCCTCCAGAATGGTACAATATAACTGCCATGGAGGGATAGTGTCTTTTTTCTTCTTCAGAAAGGTATAATACCATCGCTATGGAAGGACAGTATCTTTTTTCTCCTCCAGAAAAATACAACACCATTGCCATGGAAGGATAGTGTCTTTTTCTCTGCTAAAAAGCAATACGATCGCTATAGAAGGATAGCGTCTTTGGTCTTTAGTAATACTACCATTATGGAAGGACAGCGTCTTTTGATCTCGCGTGTTAAGAATGACGACAATGAACATCTCGGCTCCAACGGGGAGGCAGATAGCAAGATATTATCTCTTCGCTCCAATAGAAGAGAAAGAAGCCCATGTCCACATGGCATCTTTCCTCGAATCAACCATTGAACTGATTTGCCATTTATAGTCATCGAGAGAAGACCAAAATGGTCGCATGTACCCTAGAGATGCATGTGGCCGATCTGGAGAAGGCAGGAGAAGAGTTGAATGAAAGTTCAAGATAATGAGAGTTTTGTGTCTTTTTATGTTGAAGGACTGTTATGAGGTGGATGAATCAAAAGCTATAACCCTTAATAGACGATACTGATTTGAATTGTAACCGATTGCTCAAGGTGGGTGGATATAGTCGCAGACTTTCTTCCTACCCGGAAGCTTGGAAGGACAGTGTCTTTTATGGGTCTTACAGAAGTGCCATAGGGCCACTACCATGCCAAATTGAAGGTCTTACAGGGGTGCCATCGGGCCACCTAAAATTCTGCAAGTCAGAAATTACATGTCTCAAGAAGAGAAGATGCTGAGAAAGCTGATCGCCATGCCGGGTTGTGCTCTTACTCCTCATTCTTACCACTCTTTCCCTCCATACGAGTCGCTGGGCCTATCTCCGATGAGGGATGATCCGCTTCCTTGGCATTTTGGTCGGTCTTTGTCTCCTCGCGAGGAAAAGTTCCTGCGAACTTAACCCCTGGGAGGAAAGACGTTCCAAAATGATGAAATTTCAAACCCAGATCGTTCCTATCCATCGGTGTTAGGGCACGCCAGGCGGCGAGGGGGCGAAAGAAGCGGTAGAATGAGAAGCGGTTCATTTTCGGATGTAAATGTTTCAATAAATATATGGTCGCTGTGGATAATAATGTACAATCCAAAATCGCTGGTCCGAAGAGGAAGAAAAAAGAAGAGTCTGAGAGAAACTGTTGTTATATATCGTCTGAATTCCCATGGCTCTTCCCCCCTCGCTCGAAGTATTCCTACTTCACAAATATGCTTCGTTCTTGGTTTTCGAAACGAAGACGCACTCGCGACTTCTTCTGTCCCATTCAAGATCCCATGCCTCCCTAATCCGTATACCAGATTCCTAGGCGCCGTCTTTCCTTCCAGGTAGTTGTAGATCGTCATCTTCACCCTTCTATTCTCAAATGATTGTATAACGTGATAGGAGACACTTATCTCCTCAACATCTTGCGCATACCCTATGTTTACCTATCTCCCAATCATTTTCTCGGTTCAGAACACTATACATTATGCATGAAAAAGCCTTACACGAATAGCAGATATATACTCAAACAGATTTGTACATGCTAAAATTGATATCGTTACAATAAGTACTATGTTCCGACTCCAAAATAGCCATTAACCAGCCGTTCACCAAAGTTATATAGTACAAATTCCATTTTCCTTCCCATTCATTCATACAAAGAAGTCCTTCATCAATCTAATACAAAGATCGCTTCGACTTAGATCAAAAACCGGATCCCCTGGTTTTCCATACCTCCCACATTCCATTTCATCCCTCATCCATTCATATGTGCAACTTGTATCGCTTGCGTATTTACTCAGAAACGACCTTCGTCTTGATTCTCGAGCCACCGCTCTTAACACGTCTTGCAGAAGGACGGTTGATGTGGTGGTCTGGGATCCAGCTCTCATCATAAGCTTGTTGAGCCAAAGATTGAGTTGTAACAGCTGGCCCATCAGCACCAATAACTGAGACTTGATCCTTAACATCGACTGCCTTCTTGCTTCCTCCAGAAGAACGCTTGGCGCGCTCACCACCTTTTCCACCTTTGCGAGTTTGGGGGAAGAGAGATTCGATCCAGGTTCTGTAAACGAAGTAGAGAGTACCACCGGTGACTGCGAGAAGGAAGAGATAGAGGAAGATGCTATTGTGATGTTAGTTTAATTCATTTCCTGAAATGGTACTGCGGAGGAAACACTCACATTTGAGGATCGAAAATGCTAGTGGCAGCTTCAACAACAGCAACAGTCTCATTATAAGCCTGAATTTGATAAACACCACCCTTTTGACTAGCCACAACCGCAATGATGTTCAATCTCAAATCTTGGGGGTTCAAATCTGTAGTAAAAGTATATGTCAAACTTTCTGCCTCACCAGGCTGAATCTCAACGTCATATCTTGTCGAGGTCAAATTGCGCACAATAGCAGCACTAGGATGAGTTCCTTCTGGCAGAGTCTGAAGAGTAGACAAGGAGCCTCCAACAACAGCTACTTGAACAGCTTCAGCTTCATCATTTTGGAATGTAAGGAGGGCTCGAGAAGCATGGCCATTGACGAGTTTAACACCAAAGATTTCTGCTTCAGGAAATGCAGCAACAACGGAGACGGCGAGATTGGTTGGGGGAGTTTCGAATCCTTCTGCTGCTGCTTCGGTACGTTGATCTTCAGTCTATTGATGAATATAAATTAGTATTTATTTTGGTTCTCAATGGTATTCTTTAGCTCTCGATAGCTGTTTGAAGCTTATGACAGCTGTCATTAATTGGGAAACATTAAACTTACACTTTCTGGTGCAGCAAAAACGCTGACAGCACGAAGTGCGAGAAGAGCAAGAGTAGTAAACTTGTAGGAAACCATGATGAGCAGATCAATTGAATTAATTGATAGAAGAGAAGGTAAAGAGGGAATGTGAATGTAAAAGGTGGTCGGATGGTATTATGACGAATTTATGTCCCAGCTTCTAGAAATGTGTTCTCGGCAACTAGCGTAAAAATTGTTGCCATTGCTCGGGAATCCCAGTAGCTGCAGCAAGTAGACCAATTTTAGGATGGAGTCATCAAAAATAGAAAAATATGACATTTATTTGCTCGAGTGTTCGTCCAATAGATTGAATGTAGTGATTGGCATTTGCTGACAGATTTTGAGATGTTGAAGAATAGGATTTTCTCAATGAATCACCATCACCACAGGCCAACGAAACAAGCAGCAGGTAGACAGGCATATTAGAAGTCAACCATGTTCTACAGGATACAAAACTAACGTCGTCACATCATCAGCAGTCAATCACTCAGAGCAAACAATTTTTGATCATTTTTTCATTATGTTGCTGGTTGGGTCCGTAAATACGTGATGCCCAATACTATCCATGCCATGCATGCATTGGCTATTACCAGTTTTTCCCAGTCCAGTAGTCATCAAAAGTCCTTCGAGGCAAAATGTCCCCAAAAAGTGCGCTATCATCAAATGAAGGCTTCTCGTAAGAAAAGCACCGCCGTTCTCTATCATACACAGACCGGAAGGTTTATAGCTTGTTCTGTAAGCTATACTTTTAAACCAACCTTATGTTCTGGGAGCTCATTCTCGAGAGCAATCTGATCATTCGACCTCTTCTAGGGAATGATCAGCAATATTGGCAGTATATAGAAGCGTGTAAATCCATAAGCAACGAGTCAACGAGCCAAAAAAAACACGCTTAATTTTTTTGTTAAGGTCAACAAGATTGGAGTCAAGACAATTTCTCTCGTCAAGTTCAAGCACCAACCATTCCAGGTCCGTAACTTTGACGCATCGGTCCTTGGAAACCGTGAGATGTTGGAGTCTTTCCTTTGTTAGCTTGCACATTTGTTGGATATAGCACACTACCCACCTTCTTTGGTCGCTTTCGACCACCGGCTCTGTCATCGCCATCGCCGGTGGAATATCCACCATCATCATCAACGTAACCCTCGCCATAGCCTTCAAAACTTGAATCACCATATGAGCGCTTCTTGGCGGTTCGTTTTGGACGTGCGATATCTGCCGCCCCTCTATTTTGCTTAGGCACACCCATCGTGCTTTGCGACATTGGCATTGGAGCCTTTGCCTTCGCAGGAACAGCCTTTAAGGGATCGTTGGCAACTTGGGAACTGATTTCACCAAGAACAGAATGGTTCCAACGTTCTTTTGGAACGGGGCCTTTAGCCATGATTAAAGCCGTCTTGAGTTGAGGTAGTAGATCCTCTATTCCTCTACCGATTTCCTTTCCTTGTACATAAGATTGATTCCATGCTTCCCTGGGCCCAAGAGGTCCGTAGGGATCAATCAATGAAGTGAGTGATCCAGGCTGATTAGGTTCTGGACCTTTGACTGCATCAAACTGCCCAGCAATACCCAAAGATTTTATGTATCCTTTGTAGGTTTTTCGAACTGTGTTCTTCTTCCCATCTGCTGTGACACGAGCAAGACTGGCAGCAATTCCGTTCAAACCGAATCGATCGTATAAATCTTGTTGTACGTTTAAATTCTGATGCTTATGAACTGTATGTCATTTCATGTTAACAAAATATTACAACTAAGTGGTGGACAAGTCATATAAGATGGATATGCTTGAGATTGTAACCACCAATAAGTTAGATCAACTAGAAAGAAGGAATTCTTACGAGTTCTGCAGAGAAGGTACTTTTTACCGACATCCTGATGGAGATCGTCAATACTAGGTCTGCTGTCCTCGACATGAACTTTCTTCTGCTTTTGATCACCAAGATCTTCAAAATCTCTCTTGCGCTTGGTCGAAGGATCCATTGATTGAGATGCCTCGGTGGCAGAATTGACAGTCGACATGCTGCCGTTGATACTGTGGGCTGGCGTCGGAAGTGAAGTATTTATTCGTGGAGAAACTACGTTCTTTGAGGAGATATCGATAGAGCCTGGGGTATTGGAAGGACTTTGTGGTGTTTGTGGAAGATCAGAAGGCATTTCGGTAATAGATTTGAATATTAAAGTAATCGAGGTGGTTGTAGAAAAGAAAAAAGGTGAATGTGGTGGTAGAAGGATTGATTGTTGCGACTTCGGCCGTACTGAAAAGTTTATTCTTATCGAAAAGATTGTATAAGGGTATCAAAATGCGCCTCGAGTTTATTGAGAAAGAAAGAATGCAGAGTAATAGTTGTACAGAGTATGGAGCGAGTGTCGAGGATAAAAGGAACCTGTTTCCGATCGGATTCTCGAGGCTCGAAGGAAGGTGAGAGGGAATGAAGGAGAAGGTGGATCGAGAACGATTGTCGCAGAAACGGACCTACACCGCCGACGGCAGCGCTGAATCGACCTGTGCTCTTATTTCATGTATGTCGTTGAGATCGTGTTATCAATGCGATATTGTTTTTCGTATAATCAACGTCGGTTTCGTTATTGTCGTTGATGGTGTTGAATTTCCTGCGTGGTTGGGCAGATCGTTCATGTGAGGTCAATAGGATTGGGAGGCGCCGCTTTGTCAATGAATTGGCCGAACAAAAGATTTAGCGCCACAGTCACGTGTAAATCAAACCGAGGTCAGCTTTTCATTCAAATTTTTTCTTCTCTCCTGTTTTACTGCAAATTTTATGGTAGGATGTGAATAAATTAAAGAAAAGAGTGTGGTTATCTTGCAATATATACCATTCTGACGAATTTTGGAAAAGATTCATAAAGAGTCGAAATTGGGCATTTTCATCATGAAACTCATTATTAAACACTCCGTATGATTCCCAGCTCTTCTTTAGCCCGAACCGATCAAACGCATTTTGAGTTGTTCCAGCCCCATTTTCAACTTGAACCAAGCATATGTGAGCTAAACTAGATATAGATTAGCTCCAATGGAAATTGCCGGGTTTGTTACTGATAGGAAATAATTTTTTGATATCGAGAAAATTCCCCATGAAGGTATTTATTTTTGATATTTGAATCAAAAATCAACAACAAACATTGAATAATACAACATCATGTCGGAAGGAAGAAAGAGACCATTCGACGATGATGTTGCCATTGAGGCAGCATCCGAAGAAACCCAAACACATACCTCGAAGAAACCTAGAAAAGAAACGAATGCATCTGCCCGCCGTTCATTGTTTGTTCGTTCTTTGCCTGCGACAGCTACAACCGCATCATTGACTGAGCTATTTTCCGATAATTATCCCCTCAAGCATGCCACAGTTGTACTCGATCCCGTTACAAAACAATCAAAGGGTTATGGATTCGTTACATTTGCAGATGCGGAAGACGCTCAGAGAGCCTTGGATGAATTCAATGGTCAAGCATTTCAAGGTCGTAAAATGAAAATTGAAATTGCTCAACCACGTTCCAGAGACGCGCCAGCTAAAGGTGGAGACGATGGATTAAAAATGCCCAAGGAGAAAAATGCAATTGCTACCGAAGCAGCTGCTGTCAAGAAAGCCCGACAAGAGAAATTGGCAGAATCAAAAGCACCCCCCAAGCTTATCATTCGAAATCTGCCATGGAGCGTCAAGACCCCGGACGAATTGGCTAAACTGTTCATGGGTTTTGGAAAAGTCAAGTTCGCTACAATGCCTAAGGTCAAAGGAAAGGAAGCGGGGTTCGGATTTATTGTTATGCGGGGCAAGAAGAATGCAGAGAAGGCATTGGCTGCAATCAATGGGCGTGAGATTGATGGCAGACAATTGGCTGTCGATTGGGCTGTTGAAAAGGATGTTTGGGAGAAGAAGAAGAACGAGGATGCAGGTATTAGTGAGGATGTGGAAAAACCAAAGGATGAACCCAAACAGCCGAAAGCCAAGGCAGAAGACGAAGATGTAGACGATGACGTCGCAAATTTCATGAAGAACTTTGGAGATCAACTAGAGTCCGAGGACGAGAGTGACCCTGAAGCCGATCAAGAGAATGAAGACGACATTGACGATGAGGACGATGAGGACGACGAGGACGACGATATTGAAAACGACGACGACTTTGATGATATAGCTGAAGATGAGTCGATTGAAGAAGAAAAGCCAAAGAAAGTGTTCATTACCGACAATTCAACCACACTTTTTATTCGCAATCTCCCTTTTACGACTCTCGACGCAACTCTGAAGGAACATTTTGAACAATTCGGTCCTGTTAGATATGCTCGAGTAGTTATGGATAAGGCAACAGATCGTCCTAAGGGCACCGGTTTCGTCTGTTTCTACAACGTCGAAGATGCTGAGTCTTGTTTCCGAAATTGTCCTAAATATCAACCTACTGGCGCAAATGCAATCAAGAAGGGTGATGCTCCACAAATTAAGCACTCCCTCCTGGAACCTGAAAATGCAGATTCAACAGGCGCTTATACCATCGAAGGAAGACTTCTTCAGATATCCAAGGCTGTTGAGAAAGATCAGGCAGTGAAGCTTACAGAGGAGGGATCGCATTTCCGTGATAATCGCGACAAAGATAAACGAAAGCTTTACCTTCTGCAAGAAGGTACTGTCGCAAAGGGTACCCCTCTATACGATATACTCCCACCTTCCGAGGTAAAGATGCGTGAAGATAGTGCCATGCAAAGAAAGAAACTTATTCAAGGCAACCCAACTCTACATCTCAGTCTCACGCGTCTGGCCATACGTAACATACCCCGTAATATCGATTCTAAAGCTCTCAAAGCTCTAGCTCGTGAGGCCGTTGTTGGATTCGCTACGGATGTTAAAGCAGGACTACGCCAGCAACTTTCCAAGGAAGAAATCTCACGAGGAGGCGAGGAGATGCGCGAGGCTGAAAAGCAAAGAAAGGCTAAAGGCAAAGGTATCGTTCGACAGGCTAAAGTTGTGTTTGAGGGTAGAGAAGGAAAGAAAGTTAGTGAGGAAAGCGGTGCTGGAAAATCAAGAGGATACGGGTTCGTTGAATATTCGAGTCACAGATGGGCCCTCATGGGTTTAAGATGGTTGAACGGCCACGCACTCACCAATTCCCAAGGAAAGACACAAAGAATGATCGTAGAATTTGCCATTGAGAACGCACAAGTAGTTTCCAGAAGAAAAGAACACGAAGAGAAAGCTCGTAATCGCTCAAAAGAAGTTACCGATAAGATTGCCAAGGGCGAAATCGTCAGCTCAAAGAAATTGTCAGGTAGAGATACACAAATGAAATCGATGAGGAAGGGTGGAAAGGGTATCAAGGGAGCTGGTAAAGGTGGTAAATTTGAAAAGGAAAAGAGTTTCGATAGAGTCGCTCTCAAGTAAGGCATTCCCCTTTGCATGAATAAGTATACGTATTAACCATCAAACAGGGGTAAACGTAAAGCAGAAGACGACGCATCCGAACAAAAGGATAGAAAGAAGCCAAGGAACGAAGCAGCTGAAGGTGATGATGACAGCAAGCAAAGAAAGAAGGCACAAATTATCCAAAAGAAGAGAATGATGAGGAGGAATAGAAAGGGTGGCGCTTAGCTGGGTGGTGTATGAAGGATTGACGAAGCGGAAGACGAGGTAGAAGGGAAAATAGGAAAGAGAGGTTCATGGAGTAGAACATGTATAGTGGGGGGTGTATAGATGAAGAAGCGATCGTTATATTCGAGCTTAAGCCTGGTTGTGTGATTAATATGATACCTGCCTTGATGGCTGAACAATAATTACTCTTTTTCCCATTCAAATCATACTTGACACTCCTGAATCCACCAATAGCATGCGCTATTCTCTACCCCTCAAAATCACGTGAAACTGCCCCAAACTGAATAACCGATGACTCCTTTTCATTTTTTCGAGGACACTTCCACTCGTAATCCTAATCATCCCCAATAGTATGCCCATATACAACCGTAGAAATAATAATCACATTTATAACCAAGGGCATCAATGCAAAATCCTCTAAATTCGCGTCAATAATGATATTTTTTCGCTTATTCCGAAGAAATGCTCATTCATGAGGTCTTCATCGAGTAATATACCACCGGCCACGTATTTATATCAAGTAGTTTTAGCTATTTACACATGTATTTGACTCGAATATCTTATTTTTGGTATATCAACATCTCAGGAATAAACATCTCGAGTCAAAATACAATATTTTGAAATCAGGAATGATTATTTTCGCTTATTTTGTGCGAATATTCATTCATGGTATTTACATTTAGTCATTTACAGTTTTAAATTTGAGTCCGAGGGAAAATTCAGTCTTTCCTTTATTTTACTGACTGGGATATCAATAACAGTCACTTTTCGACGCTGAGTTATTCATTTTGAGTTAAGATACGGTACACTCGAATCAACAATGACTGCTTTTGGGTATTGCGAGGATCTTCATATTCACTGTTGTCTATTTTTGGATTGATATGACTATTTCCGGCCAATATTTCTTCATTTACATATGATATTATAACTCGAATAGTGTATAGAGAGATTATTCATAGGAGAAAATGAATGTGCGGAATCACATTGTAGGGTTTGGAACTATTGGATTCGCCTCGGTGGTGATTATGACGTCTTCATAATAGATTCAACTCATCGGTTGGTATTGTTTATGTCTATTCCAGGTTCAGAGCTACGAGAGATATATGCAATAAACTCGTGAGTTCACATATGCATATTAACTTGTGTTGCAACAGGGGCTCATAGTAGTCTATTTTGGTATCAGCATGACAATTTTTGGCTATTGCGTCATTGTTTACAAGCGATGTTGACTCGGATATTCTACACGGAATATATTCATACTCTTGAGATCTCTAGATGTATTTTTGGACTCAATGAGACTCATTTCTCGGTTGTTTTGACTCGAATGCCTGTTTCTGTACACATTCAAATCACAACATGAGCATTTTGAGTCAGAATAACCTCGTTTTACAGTCATTCCAAATGCTTCCCAGGAGAAAGTCACAGGGGGGTCGTGGGAATAATAAGGAACAGGAGCACCTCTTTGTATTCGAGTTTGCAATCAACAAGATATCCTCAGAATACATTGAAGTGCAATATAATACTTCCAAATCAAGGAGCAACCTTTTCTCTACCATAATATCAACACTGAACAGAACCATCTTGTCCACACAACACCTATTTCTCTTCTTTGACCAACTCCTACGTCGATATTTGGGCATCATCATCATAGATACACCCCACATTGTTCAATAACGGCTTCGGCGCATCATCCTCAGTCAAGATTGTGCAAGTTCAACATAGTGATAGACATTTAAACGTCTAGACGTCGTCTCAAGTGGACAGCAGACTAAGGCTTCTGAAACTCCAAGTATCTGAGGGCTGATTGATACCTACAGCAATGTCTTCCCGTCACCAAGGGAAAGGAAAAGGAAAGCAGACAACGGATAGGGTTTCAAGCCATGCATCATCACAAAGGTCTTCAGGCCATGACAGAAACGCTGAGACAAGAGATCGTCAACAGAAGATTGCCCAGCCAGCGCCAGTACCACCAGTACAGTATTATGCAGGAGGATACAATGAAGTCGATAATTCTCCTTACTACCAGGGGCAGTATCAGCAGCAGGATTATGTTGCAGCTGGACCGGCTCCTAAGTCTGATGCTCCACCGCCTGTGTATCAAGGGTCATCTTTTGGTACTGGAAACTTTTCTGGCGCGGAAACAACAACTGAGGCATCAGCCTCGTCTGGATACAACTATAGAGATCAAAATGTGCCTGATACAACATCCTTCAAAGATGTTTATGAAGTGGCTGGTCTGGGCTACCTGAAGCCGCAAGTGGAAAACAGATCTTTTACACCAAATAGTTCTGATTATTCTATCCTGCCTACTCATCCAAATACTCCTAGCGCGCTTACAGATACGCCAGCAGCTAGCTATCAGCACGTAATGACAAGGTTTCCCGCTACCATATTTACGTACAAAGATCAGGGAGAGCTTCCCTATGGAGAAGACGACTATCCAGCTGACTGGAATTCGGGATACAATCCCGGATTCAACGATAAGGGCCAAGGTCCTGTGGCTGACTTGTGGGCTGGTGTTTACAGGACTGAGGAAGAAATGCAAATTTGTCACTTATTTGATCATGTGGATCTTTATCGACTAATGTACATCGTTACGACTTTGACTTCAACTGTTGATTGCGTTCAAGATGATCCGACGTGTGTAAGAATGGCAACAGAAATCCTCAACAGTGCTGGTAGACCGTATGGATTTAACGTTGCAAGTCAATTGCGGCCAGTAAATGGCTTCACTGTGGAGCAAGTGGGAGGGCTTTTCCAAATTATGTCCGATAGAAGCAACCAAAATCGTGGTGCAGCAGTTGCACGCATAAATGGATGGCTGCAAATCAATAATAGACTGGTTGAGAAAAGCGAAAAGCAGAAGAGAAGAGAAAGGGAAGAACAAGCGGGGAAAAGCAAAGATAATAAAAAGCATGGCAAGAGTTCCAAGCATAAGAGTCCCTCACCTACGAGTTCTACGCCTAAGCTATATCCATACTGGTCTCCCAAGAAACTATTAGCAGGTCTACCAGAAGCTATTATTCGTTACTTTAACTACGACTATAGAGCTGCTGCTGCGGACAAAAGGCTCTGCTGGCACTGGAGAATAGACTATTTTCTCTATCGCGAGAAAGGAGATGGTGATCGACTCATTTGGCACTTGCCAAAAAACTTCATATACCCACCACCAGTACCTCCTGAAGCTCGTTTTTGGACCAATATAACTGCCGAGCAAGCAGACTACAACGACCAAGAATATGTCCAGAATGATCCAGAAGAATTGGAATTTGCGCGGAAAAGACTAGAGCAATTGAGTTGGGGAGAGCCGAGTAGGTTGGAGGCACAACGGTTGGCACTAGAGGAGGAAAGACAGCGCCGCAATCAAGAAAGGGGAAAGAGTGCCAATGTCGTCACCGTGAAACCTAGAGGATCATCATCTAAACATCCGCGTCCAGATACAGACAGCTCGAGCTCTCAAAAAGTCAAAACGAGGATTCAATACATGGACCAAGATGGGAAAATTCACTATAAGCGGGCACCCAAATGAGGTATTTTTTGAATGAGAAGTAGAGAAGAATTGGCTGATCTTAAATTCGCTGGAAGTTTTGTTAGTATGTAATTAGATATTGAGAAGTCTGATGCGCTAGCCGCACGACTAAGGATATCTCTAATCAGGATATAGATGAAGATCAAGAATAGATGCAATGGTTGTAATATTGAAGAATAGAGGTTAGAATATTCAGGAATAGATAGATAATACTTAATAACGTTGCTTTTATACTACATTTTTAATATATTAGTTTTGATACCACTTCATTTTATATCTGCCTTTTAACAGAAATTGGGAACCAGAAACTGGAAAACCCATGACATAGAGTATATGCGAACTGGAAAAGTCAGGTATTGAAGTGAATCTCCTATGTTGTTGACTCCAATACCATATCTGAGTCACTCTTCACATGGATCTTTTGAGTCAGGATGCTCTCCTTTTACAGTCATCTTGGAAGCTTTTCAGGGAAGGGCAACAGGGGGATCATAGGAATAATGGGGGGCAGTATGAGCCTCTTGGCTCGAGTCTGCAAAGTACGAAACATTTTCAGAATACACAGCGATACAAATAAACACTTGTGAATCAAGATAATCTTCTTAATATTACTCTATATCACTCTTTATTACAGTCTATTCACTTCCTTAGCTACATTACCTTACTGTTCAACAACGTATTTAGGCAAACCCGTTGCTACACTTGTTTCCAAATAATACTTGCAGTGTCTAGCTGCCAGACTCACAAGTTTAGCGACATTACACTTAACCAGATCAGTTCGACCAGCAAATCAGGAACTGCTCATTAATCTCATTGAACAGTCATGTCTGACAATAGGGTTTCCTTTACGTATGATGAATACCGTGCTGCTGGATGGTCTCGCGATGGAATAATCAGTGGTGAGGCGGGCCCAGTGCGCGGGAGGATACCTCTGGAAGGTGAACCATCTCTTGCGTCAGGAGATCCTTATTCATATCCTCCCTCACAGTTCCAACCTCTCGTATCAAGAAGCGGATACTCATCAGGACATTCTGGACGATACTCAGATTCCGGAACTCCAGTAGTTTATACGGCAGACCCAGGAAGACAATATATACCTACATTTGACAACCCAAGTATTGCCCAACCCCAACCACAGACCGCGCAACAGTTTCACCAGTCTAGTCCACCACCACTATCCATAAATTCAAGTGCTCTTAACCCCTCAATCATAAACCCTCAGGAAGTCCAGGATTATGGTAGTCTCGCAGCTGCTCATAACTATGCTCAGGTGCAGAGTGCTACTCGCGATTTTGTTGAAGGTCAACGAGAGCTCTCCCCGCCTTCACGGGTGCCTTCTTCCATCTACGCCCAGTCCAGTAGCTCACCGGTAACTTGGGATCAGCTACAGACCGAGATACCTGGAGCAAAGTACATCCCCCTTAAAGATGGAGAATTGCCCTATGGAACATGGTCTACTGTGCCTTGGGACTCAGGATATAATCCGGGGTTCCAGAAAACCCATCCACGTAATAAGGGTCCCGTAGCTGATCTGTGGAGAGATACATGGCAGGGTCAAGAGGGTTGTGAGGAAGAACGGATATGTCTTATGTTTGACCATGTAGACTTATATCGACTGGCATACATCACTACAGTTCATCTGGGATCAGTCGAAAGACCTGACACCATGGTTGAAGGTATGAAAACACCTGGAGGAAGTGACCTAGTAAACTGGCTTCGTGACATAGTGGAAATACTCAATGAGGCCGGCAGACCACCAGGCTTTGGAGGAATATCCCATAGGCGACCAGACGCCTTTAATCAGCAGCAAGTGAGAGACTTGTTTGCTATCATGGCCAACAGAGACAACATTAACCGTGGAAATGCATTCAACATATTAGAGAGGTGGGTGTGGCTTTCTGGATGGTCTCCTCGACTAGTCCTTCGCAACGTGCCAGAAACCATTGTCAGCCATTGGAAACACAGTTATCAGACTGCCCTGACGGATAGAGCCCTCCGATGGGACTGGCGAATCAAGGAGTTCATCTATGAAGAAACTGTTGATAGCAAAGGAAGAGCGGTTTGGGCATTGAAGCTCAATAAACCAGGCAGTCAACCTTCAGGGTCAACTTCAAAAGAAGAACAACCTTCAGGATCAATGTCAAAAGAGCAACAACCTATGCCATCAAAACACTTGAGACGACACATTAAACATTCTAGACCTTCGACTTCAAGCTCCTCGCGTCATCAGCATCACTCACAGTCCTCAAATCAAGATGTAGAATATACAGGCAAGGGAAAAAAGCCACGTCATTGAATTGAGGATAAAAGCGCGTGATATTTGTGAAGAGAACGTTCTGCAAAACTTTGGTGGCATTTCATAGAGAGATTTAGACATTGGATACGCTGGTCGCTCCACTAGGACATAATTAGATACCGGAGAGTCTCATGCGCTGGCCGTACGACTGGGATTTGCTTAATTAAAGCATGCATAGATGCAAGACTTAGAGGAATTGGTCGCATTATCGCAAGATATAGGTAGAATACCTAGAGATAGATAGATAATACTTAACAACGATGCTTTTCACACTGAATTCTTAACATATATGTTTTGATACCGCTTCAGTCTATGTCTGCCTCTAATAGGAATTAGAAAAAGGGACCGTCTTTTATTAAAGTGTATGGGGTCCGGAAGACGTAGGTATTGAACCCGATCTCCTGTGTTCCCCATTTGAATAGAGTGAAAGATAGATAGCTAGAACCCCCACATTTCACTGTCCTTGCAGGAAATATATCTATCTCTATGAGACCAAAACTTAGCATGCTATAATGCTACAAGAGCTACTCCAAACTGACTCCCAGTACTTTTGAAACCGTTCCTCGCTATGGATGGGTAGGATCCGGTGAAAGTTTTAGTCAGTGAGAGAAGGAGAAAGTGACTCTCATTTCGCTTCCGAGTATATTTCCACCTTTATAGATATTCAACATTAAAATCAAGTCAAAATGGTTAACAGTAAGATGGAAACTCTTGGATTGAGCATCTTTGAGTACACCTTCAGTGTTGTTCCCTGGTTTTCAAGGACAATGATCATAAATATGTATCAACACCAAAATAGATCCCCCCGAATCACCAAGTCTATTCACACGCACCCTAAGTTTGTTCAGTGATACTGGAAGAAAGAATGGTATCACAGACCATATTCAATCATTAGACCCTCAAATATACCTCAAATCAAGCTCTAAGAGACACTAACCTGTAGAAGTTTACTTTTTAGTGTCATTTTTAATCAAATTTTTGACATAATTTAGCTTCACTTGATCGAGTTGACTCTATTTTAGCTTACAACAAGACTAGAGAGATATCTATAAGAACAACCATAATAACTACGTTTGATTATTTAGTCTTCGATATACCCCTAATAAACCAATGAGGGGCTTAATGTGAGGAAAATGACAATATTCTATTCATTTCAGCCGCAGTTTGAGAAATTTGGCTCTATTTGGTCATTTTTGACTGAGTTCCCATTGTAACTAAATATGAATTAGTATGGAGGTGCTCCAAACATTCAAATCGACTTTAATATAGCGATACAGAGGAGCTCTAAAGTCTTCATAGGCCTCAAAATAGAACTTGTAGATTGGTGAATTAGAATGAATTGAAAGGCATCGAAATTCAGAGAAACTATACCCGGAAACTTTCCACACCAGGCCCGGAAAGATTGCTAGATGGATAAAGATATTTGTGCAAGGATTGCTTCTTTCTATACATACATAGCTTAGCTCTCTGAAATAAATATTGTTAGTTTGAACCTATGTAGTAAGTACTGCGCGATTGGCACTCTATTTACACAAGATGTGATAGACTCTGTATAGAAAAAAGCTAGCGATAAAGAGAAATGGCCATCTATTTTCCTCTCTTTAAATCTTAGTCTACCTACAAATTTCGAGGCATACTGTCGAAGATACAAGTGGCATATTTTCGAAAGTCTCCTTTTTGTACACGTGAAATATATAGTTGTACCCATGGCATGTAAGATGCGCTATCGAGTGCGACTTTCTCAAGAATATTTATGCCATTTGGTTGCTTTGAGTAGGAAATGAACGCAAAGAATATATAATAAAATGGAGGAGTAAATTAATATAAGGTCTTGAAACTTCGATTTGAATGACTCTAGTCAAACAATCAATACTGTCATATGTGAATATAAACCTATCATTCCCAATTAAACGCTCACCAATTGGAACTCATAAAAATGTTTGAAATTGGTATCCATACTAACACAGTACAAGTTCCTGTGTGCGAAATCTATATGAAATTAAGAAATAGACGTCTGAACACTCTCATCTGATCCCAGAATTTTTCGCGCCTGTTCTTGAAATCTCCAAGTCATGAGCTTTTAGTCTTCCCTCATCGTCAGCTCCTCATCTTACCTTTGCTTTCTTCCTCTTTTCCAGTCTCCCAACTCCTCAGATTGGAATCCGTGAGGCGCCTGCTATGAGTATACATATGTGGTTCAATTCGCCTCAAGGAGAGCTCATTCTCGAGCGTGATGAAGACTCAAGAAGTTTAAGCTGGGAGGAAATAAAAAAGGACGTGGGAATGTAAAGGAGACGATTTTTGCTGTTGCTTTAGATTTGAGAATTGTGGTGATTTATCAAGAACCGATGTGAAAAGGGAGAATATTAATGAACGTGAATGCTATACATTAAGGAATTGGAAATGTATGAACTGAGGAATGTTTGGGCAAACGAGGCTTTAGTAAAGGAGCTAGTACAAGAGACCAGGGCCTACGTAATATTAGAGGGTATATTACGAGCATAGCTCTCTATGATATCATTCTTCCAAGAAGTACACCCATAAACATGGTTGTTTATGTTTAGTGTATATTTGATTAAAAAAGTCATTTAAGATGTGTTCCTCCACATTAATACCTGATTGTAATCATGACTATTGAAAAACAATCTACAGCAATGTATTCAAATACAGCCGTATTGAAGGCATTCTGATCATTTCTGTCTGCGTCAACTCGACATTGAAGTCCGAATAACTTCGAGAAGCCTGCAGATACGCGCAAGGGTAAAACAAGGTTAGCTTCCCTTTTGCTCTCAACAAGCCCATCTTCCACCTGACTTGAGTTGTTCAGTTCTATGGGGTTGGCATTGAAATTAGCGGAGCTTTTCCAACTTTGCGGATTACCAAAGTTCGGCTCCATGAAGGTTATCCGTTTAGATATCTGGAACCCTTGTCTAGTTCATCATTGTTGATATGTGACTCTACGAAACCATGAATTTCCAAATTGCAACTCTGAATCTTTCGTGTTTTGTAAATCAAGAGAAGGAAAGTTAATAGCAGTCAAAATCAGATTTTCTTTGTTTCTATATACTTTCATGAAAAGGAACTCTTATCCTAGTTTCTCGCTAAAGGGTAAATGTGGAATGATATATCAAAATGTAATGATTGAGAATAGATAGTATAAAAAGCAACGTATTAAGTATTATCTATCTGTTTCTAGGTAGTCTAGATTTATATCCAGGCAGCGTCTATCTGCGCTCTATTCCAGGTAAAAGTCCTCAGTCGTGCGGCTAGCGCATTAGACCTCTCTGTATGTATTTATGTTCTATCAGTGCGACCCGCGCGTCCATAATGTAATCAATATATCCCCGTAATCTTGCTTTCCAACCAGCTTCTCTGAGTTTACCAATAACCTGAGGTGAATTAACCTGGCAACGAGTCTCCTTTCAACAGGCGCAAAAATTCGAATTCATGATATTTATCCTAATGATGTCGTCTACTATGGTGTCCATGTCCATCGTTATACCCACCACTTCTCCTGGAGCTCGAGGAACCCGATGAGTGACGGTGCTCGCGGCTTGATCCTGCATCGCTTCGGACGGGAGTAGCTAGTAGATCAACAACAACTGGTACTGGAATATGCATAAATGTATGAATGTTGGGATACCAGTTGATATAAGCTCGAGCTACGAGTCCGGGTGGGCCCTGTGGATATAAGTCATAATATCGTTCTATAGCGTACCGTAAGGGGTTCCGAAGATACGTTAGTTGATCGTTCTGTTCGTGACCATCGCCGTGTACCGTATCCACCCATTCGATGGTTCTATCTACTGGCCATTGCCGATATGGATTTCCTGTGTATCCGAGGAATTCGAACAGGTCGCGGACTAGAACGGGATCAAAAGGACTCATATATGACACCGGACGAGGCGGAAATATTGTTTCTAGTCTCTCCAAAAAATGCTGATCCAAGATGGCGGTAATACTGGCGATGCATTCTGGACTTGGAGGGTTTTCCACCGTAAGACCAAGGTGACAGCACAGTCTTACGAATAGGTATAGATCAATCGCGTCAATATCAAGGAACGCTCCATGCCAGTGGTTCACCAAAAAGGTCCTCCATATATAATCCGTTGTGTAGCCTCCAAATGGATACCGTGGACCCACTGGCTCCGCGTTTTGTGTGGGTGGACCAAGTTGTGTCAACCCACCTGGCCGCCAAGATTCCAATGGTATGTTGGGGGTATTGAAATTGCCTTGCGGATCATATACATCAGCTGAAATGGATCCTATGATGGTTGAAAGACGGGGCGTGATTTGGCCTCTTCCGACTGCCACGTTCGAGCTTTCCGCTGTATTCGCTTCCCAAGAAGTTGATCTCCGCGGTGTGGCTCCCCCGACAAGAGTACTTACATTTCCTCTAAAAGGATTATTTCTCACCCGTCCATAAGAGTCTCGCGCCTCTTGGTTTGAGTCAGACATGGCTTGGTAGCACGAATGTGGATATCAATCAACCTTCGAGCACTTGAAGTTGAAATAACGACGTTCTAAATTCCGCTGGGAACAACGCTGAGATCTGACTAGGTGGCTGTGAGGGTTCAAAAGAGGCAAATTCGTCCAAATATGAGTGGTCCTAGCTGAGGAAGATATGATGTAACGAACCGGCTGTGAAACGACTAGAAGTGTATCTGTGACAAGAACCCTAAAGAATGCTTGCAGAATTTATTTACCAAAGAGAGAGACAGTGTGCGATCGAATCGCTTTAAGAACCAAGGGAGTCAAGCTCTCGGTACCAGGTGGTTATTCTTAGAGTTAAAGGCAAGATAAAAGAATTCTCTTAATATTGCATGTATCTTGTTGTACTTTGATGAATCATGGGAATGGATGGTCCGTTGTTGGGAAAAGCAAATCAAATGGGTTACATCGTCCCCTATTATCTTCAAGACCCCCCTGATCGATTTCCTTAATGGCATTCGAAGTGACCGTAGAAGGGCATTCTGACTCGAAAACATTAATATTGGGGCATTAAAGTGACTGCGATACGGTGTTCGAGTTAAAGTTCAGATAATGAGTCCTAATAGAGTGTACTCTGACTCGAAAGATGCATTTGAGGGGTATCAAAGTGACAAGAGCAGGGTACTGGAGTTAAAAGTCCACGGAAATGAGTCTCAAACGAAGATATTGTGACTTGAAAATAGCTATTCCAATCAAAACCACTAAAAATGGGTCGTTTTTATTCTAAAAATACATTTAGATATGAATATATTCCAAAACCGTCTATATTCGAGTCAATATCACCTGTGAATTAAAAAAGAATATCCGAAAATATTTATATTATTCACAGAATAGACAATCATAACCTTCCAGCCTCGAGAATCTGATTCCGCGCATTTATTTAAGCCTATGAATAACTTCTTCATACATAGCTCAAGCCAATATCATATGCAGGAGAAGAGATGAGAGAACCATCGAGAATCGTTATATCAAACCCAAAATAAACAATGCTGAATGTCAATAGGTATCCTCAAGATAATCTACACCATTCATCGTTGGATCATATGCTCGGAATTTTGACTCGGGCTAAATTTAGCATAGGACGGTGACTGTAATGGGACATGTTGAAACAAAGAAGACAGGAGAATGGCGGCAAAATGCGCTATAGGGGTCACTTTCGTGATTGGTTGAAATATCGTGAATAGATACTACTCTAGAATAACATCGTCTGGAATAACATCAAAGATTCATTCCGGGCTTGAATATTGTGTCTTTTTTCCAAATCTTCGTTGATATCTACAATATCTTCATGTACTTCCTTCAGACTAGAACAAAAAATGACTGGAAAAGCCTTCGAGATAATCACATTGCTGGCTGGTGCCGACTTGATGAAAACATGATGTGTGAATACTCCTTCGGAATAAGGGAAAATGATTGTTCCTGAACCGTGATCAAGGGGATTTGTATCAGTACTAATCTGAACTCATAAATACAATTTTTTTTTTTTTGAATATAATTGAGTTTAAGACATTGATAATAAGCAGGAAGAATTAGTAGTGAAAAGGTACTTGAAACGATGAAAAGGAGTTATCGGTTATTCAAGCATGAAAGTTCTTTATGTGATTTGGAATAGAGAATGTAGTACACGAAATTGATGGATTGAGAAGATAAAGCAAGATGGATCTGAATGAAAAAGTTAAGATTGTTTAGTTATAATGCAAAATATCATAGTGATCAAAGGTTCAAGCTGCAGCAAGAGTATCATGATCGCGTTGCGGACTACGCATACCCATTTTTGTTTCACCCACACCGTTCCTTTCCTCTCCTCGACCAGAAGAGAAACAGACCTTTGTACTGCTCCCAATTTGTGTCATAAATGATTGAACGGGTATTTTTCATTCGAGACTATCAAGAAAAATCTCCAAATATCCTGATCTCGTTTCCAATCTAAAGACCAGGAAAGTTTGAGTTTATTTTGGAGAGCTGAGCAGATAAAGAGGAACGGGAGAACTTCTAGGGGACAAAGAAGAGTTGAAGAGCTTGAAAAGAAGAGGGGAGATGAAACTACTCTTGGGCTTAAACTTCGCCCTTCTAATTTAATCTTCTCGTGCTCTTAGTTAACATGGCCATGCGAGATTATTGCTCTGTCAATGTGAGTGCATCGGAAGATTCTCTGAAGGCAGGCTTTCAACCTCTGTCACAGCTCGAACAATCTTGAGAGCCACCTGAACTGGTGCAAAGGTGCGAATTTTTCAATGCGGAGGTCTACCTGTTCTCTGCTCTATACTCCCCATCGCTCTCCTGTGGAATGTTTGGTAGCAGTTGTGGAAACATTTCCACTCAAAATATGAACGATAAAAGTTGTTGCATCGAAATAAAGATGGTATCTCGGACACAGAGCGTTTTGACAGGCAAGAACCTCATTTGATTGACGTTGTAATGTTGAACATGAGGGAGTGATTGCCAAGACTACATTGCGACTTTGAAACCCGATTATTTTGTCTCGATTTGGATATGAATACAACAAGGTGTACTAGTCACTAATCAGGGCCTCTTACTTACCGCGGATACCTGCCATTGAAGCCGCCCCATTCTTGGTCCTGTGCAAATCATCGGTCTCGAACATTGCCAAGAAGTATATTGGACCCCAAATGCAATGCCACCACACCCATTCAACGTTTACTGGTCTGCACACTGCACATACAGAACCAGGACTAGGCACGGATGCACATCTGTTCACGACCTATACCCCGCGCAACTCCTGAGGTGCATTTATCGAACGCGGAATTGAAGTACGCTCGCGGCACGGTCGGACCAGATTTGGAGAGACGTCCATGCCAGACGGAGATTTTTCGATGTTAATTATCGTGGTGATGTGTAGATACCGAATTTTTGTTACGTATGTAGAATGAAGGGGAAGTTCGGAGAGTACGTTTGTACAAGCGAGGGGTTTTGATAAGATACCGAATGGCTGGTGGGGTCCACGCCGAGAGATGTCCGGCGGGTAATTGGTTGGGATGTGATGTAACAGAATAACGCTTTACCCCGCAGGCCCGCAGGAAGGACAATTGATGGGAAATGACCATTTGAGTACAGACAGACAGACAGACAGACAGACAGACAGACAGACAGGACAACTATGCCAGTTTCTCGATATGCATACAAAGTAAGTGGACATGATATGTAGGGTCTACAAGGCAGGCGAGGCAGGCGAGGCAGGTCTAGAGCCAAGAGGACGGGAAGTTGCATGTGTGTCACAATGGGTTGGGAGAGAAGACAGCTAGCTGGGTAAAGTCAAGAGGTAAGGGTAAGAATGGGATTGATTATCATTACCTGGTGAAACGTCCATCAGACAGTCTATTGAGCTTCATAGGGCACACATACATGCTTTTGATATGATTGTCTTATGCTTCATAGTACATCCATAGATTCCATAGATTCCATGGATTCCCGACTTTAACATGATCATCGTGTGCTTCATGATCATCATCACATACCCAACGTTCTAGATAGTGGCAAGCAGTGTAATGCATCTCTCATCCACTTCTATGTGAAGGTCTTTCTGTTCCTGAGCTTAGCTTGAGTAAAGTGGACCATACATGTACCGGAAACGTGCGGAATCATAGCTCCCCGTAAAGCTACCGAGCTACCCTTTGACATATTCTACGAATCTACGAGAAATCACCTAGACCAGCTAGTCCAAAGAATCCGAATACCGATTCACCCATCCAACCATTCTGCCATCATGCCATCATACCATTGCCATTCGGAAACGTGGACCAAATTGGCAATGGGCCTTTGGCCACACGATACTGCCAAACACGGCAGGATGATCGATGAATGATTCTTTTGCCTTCTCCGAGTCTCATGAGTTTCTTACCAGTTACCTCGTTGGTTCTCTATGTGCTGTAAGTGGAGAATGCGATCATGTCCTCCGAGTCGACCGCTTTTCATTTGTGGATAGTTTGGACCCAATATTGTTGGAAAAAGAGGGGAAATGGTGGAAATACCAAGACTTCTTACTGTGGACTGTAGTCGTGATATCCCGAATTTATTGAGGGGTATTGAAGGCATTGAAGGTATCAAATATTATATATATCGAAGAGCTGTTCCCGTCTTCTTGTGTGTGCACTTCCTCTACATCTTCAACTTTTTGATATATCAGACATTCAAAACAAAGGTAAGCTTCTACCCCTGCCATCAACCACCACCACAACAACATCAGACGGGGAGTATGGATAGCTTCATCTGATCAAGAGATCAATACAATTGGGATCTTCCAAACTCTATTCTGATCCTTTAAGCCTCAAATTCCATCAATATTCTCAATTGGTCGAGGTACATGTTACTAACAGTGGTTGCCAATATAGGTTAATACATCCCGAACCCCGCACTTTCCCAAAGATACATACATCTAACACAACTTCCATACAACAGAAACATACTCTTTGTTCCTTATTCTACAATCAATCAATCCTTTCTTCAACTACAAACAATAAAACAATAATTCAAAATGGTATTTTTCACTCGTTCCCTCTCTCGTTTGGCTACAAGACCGTCTCCTTGTGCTCGGTCAATCTTCACAGCCTCTGCTGTTGCGAGAACTACACCTACATGGACGACGCGATCGACTGCTTTTGGCTCGCAGAAGCTCAATCATAAACTTGGAAATATCAGAATGCTAACGGGTAATCATCGTGAAAAGGTCAAGGTACTTCTTGTATTGTACGACGGAAAGAAGCACGCCGAAGAGGTATGTTTTATCTGCTTTACCCCTCTACTCAATTGCGGGGTAGTCATCCAACTACTCCAATTGAGTATGCATCTTTGGATCAATTGACTAACATGAATACAACTAGGTCCCAGAGCTTCTTGGCACAACTGAGAACGAGCTCGGTATCCGCAAATGGCTCGAGGACCAAGGACATGAGCTTGTCACCACCTCCGACAAGGAGGGAGAGAACTCTGAGTTCGACAAGCACTTGGTAGACGCAGAGATCATCATTACCACTCCGTATGCCACCCATCTTCCTATATACCAATTCGCAGATTCTAACAAGCTTTCCTTCTCAGTTTCCACCCAGGTTACCTCACTGCCGAGCGTCTTGCCAAGGCCAAGAACCTCAAGATCGCCATCACTGCCGGTATTGGATCTGACCACGTCGATCTCAATGCTGCTAACAAGACCAACGGCGGTATCACCGTTGCTGAAGTCACTGGATCCAACGTCGTCTCCGTCGCTGAGCACGTCGTTATGACCATCTTGGTTCTCGTCCGTAACTTTGTCCCAGCACACGAGCAAATCCAAGCCGGAGAATGGGACGTTGCTGCTGCCGCCAAGAACGAGTTCGATCTTGAGGGCAAGGTCGTCGGTACCGTTGCTGTTGGAAGAATTGGTGAGCGTGTCTTGAGAAGATTGAAGCCATTCGACTGCAAGGAATTGTTGTACTTCGATTACCAACCTCTTAAGCCAGAGGTTGAGCAAGAGATTGGTTGCAGACGTGTTACCGATTTGGAGGAGATGTTGGCTCAGTGTGATGTTGTCACCATCAACTGCCCTCTCCACGAGAAGACCCGTGGTCTTTTCAACAAGGAGTTGATCTCCAAGATGAAGAAGGGTAGGTTTCCTCTCCTTCATTTACTCATACTGTTAAACTAATATCAAAAATAGGATCCTGGTTGGTTAACACCGCCCGTGGTGCCATCGTTGTCAAGGAAGATGTTGCCGATGCCCTCAAGTCCGGTCACCTCCGCGGTTACGGAGGAGATGTCTGGTTCCCTCAACCAGCACCAAAGGACCACCCACTCCGCTACGCAAAGAACCCATTCGGTGGTGGAAACGCCATGGTTCCCCACATGTCTGGTACCTCTTTGGATGCTCAAAAGAGATATGCCGATGGTACCAAGGCTATTCTCGAGAGCTACTTGTCTGGTAAGCATGATTACAGACCAGAGGATTTGATCGTTATTGGTGGTGATTATGCTACCAAAGCTTATGGTGAGAGAGCGAAGAACAGTGGTTCTTCTGGTGCCAACAAGGCATAAGTGGGGAAGATGAATGTATAATTGATATGGGATGGGAAAGGAAATGGGTTTTTAGGTATGCGGCTTTGATGGTTCAAGCTGCTACTATGTGATATGACATTAAATGAAATGAAATAAATTATCTGTTAAATTATTTGGTTCTATTCTCGTGTGATAAGATTTGTCTTGTGAGATGATAGATGATTGACCTCGAAGTTCTGAACTATTGAAGGTTGAGGTCTTCTATTTGCATTGAAGAAAGATTCACTGAATCACTACACTACATTGTAAAACTACCTCTACAATCACATCAGCGATTGGGTACAGATGCTGCTTTCGCCATTCCGTTCTGCTCTGGAAAGTAGAGATATCGAATGCCTCGCCATGTTAAATCGTACGAATCAGTGGATCTTAATGGAAAGAACATATGTCGGATTCGGGGTTGTATATACAGGCAGGCATCGCTAATGGTATCTTGGTATTACAAGGAAGAGGATGGCAGTGATTATTCATGAGAGACTTGGGGATTGAGAGATTGATATGTTTGAGGGGATTTGATGGGTGATTGTTGAGGGGAGTAGTGGGGGTGGGCGGTTGGTTGGAGGAGATGGGGGGAGGGGGTGGGGGAAGTAGCAAGGGGGGAGCGGAAAGGGGGGAGTGGAAAGGGGGGAGTGGAAAGGGGGGAGTGGAAAGGGGGAGTGGAAAGGGGGGAGTGGAAAGGAACAAGAGAGGTGGAACTTTGCAGGAGGAAGGGAGGTTGAAATAGAGATGGAGATTTCTCTTTTTTTCTTTTTCTTCTTTTTTTTCTTAATCTTTGAAAGGGATCTCGAAAAGTCATGTACATGGTTACATTAGGCTTGAAGATGCGAGCAAATACTTTTGCTGGGTGTGAGTACGGGTATAGGTATAGTGTGGAGAGATTTGTAGATATAGATGGGAAAGATTGTGGGAGGTAGATTATGTATTGGTATGTTATTTTTGTGTGGCGCTGTGGTAGGAGGGGGGTTTGTTTCTTGAAAGAGCATTTGATGAGGTGGTTTTTGGGGGAGGGATGAGCGTGGTGTGGTGTGGTGGTGTGGATAGATATCCGCTTCAGAGTTGTATTGCGAGGTTCCTGATGGAAGACTGGAAGATTAGATGCTTGAGAGGGGGGATGCGTGGTAGGGTTGGCTGGCTGGGTTGAGGATGGAGGTTGGGGAATTACTTTATATGAGGATGTGTGAATATGTATGAGTGAGTGATGAGCAGGTGATGAGCAGGTGATGAACAAGTGATGAACAAGTGAAAACGAGGTGGAGAGATTATCTATCTTGAGTGTTGTGACTGCGGGAGGGAGAGAGTGGGACAGCTTGTGGAAATTTTTGGGGAAAAATGAAGAAGGGAATGATTTTGTGATGCTGTGATTTTTATAGAGAGGTCATAAGATGGGTTGGATGTGAGAAATTTTCTTCTCCTTTTTCTTCTTATTGTCACTCTTACTACTACTCATCTTCCAATCTTCCAAAATACCCTTTTTTTTTCGTTCGGGATATAAGAGTACTTGGTGAAAACACATTCTACAACGTCTATTTGATATTCCACAGGAAATTATTCATTCATTCCAGATTTGACTATATCTGCTCTGGACACTTAGTGCGATAGTTAAGGTTATCATGATAACTAAATTCCATCAGTTAGTGATTTTATAGATTGATTAGACTTATTGAATTCTCTCGTTTGCGTTTTGAATTGATATACCTGCAAAAGAAGAAGAAGGAGAAGAAGAAGAAGAGAAGGGAAGGAAATGTAAATTTAAAATGGTAGTTATCCTCCGGGTAGGTATAAATTCGAGACCGAGGAGGAATCTTTTTTGTGTTGGTTTTAAATTTGTACGGAGACTCTGAAGGAAGATGGAAGATGGGTGAATGGCTTCGAGAGAATGTGTGAGATTGATATGATAGTTGTTATCCTTCACACTCGGAGGGTATCACCTTGGAGACTTCTATTTCAGAAATTGCGATTTTTGGAATTTTGCCGGGAGGTCAACAGGTTTGTATTGATGTGACTGACCATGTATGTGATATCGATAAACGGCACCTGCGGGATAGAATGAAACTGGTGTCGTACCATTATACACAAATACATCTAGCGGATGAAGAGTATATGGGATTGGGATACCCAGTTCATGGGTCCTGGACTTCTATCCCATATAGCAGAAACTGGGAGATTGTATGATATAGTGCATAATGTAATTTTTCCTTCGATTCCCTTCATACAGATTAGGTATGATGCATGCCGAATTAGGGAAACTCATGATACTGATGGATTGGAGAAGAGAGAAGTCTATGTCTTCGTGAGTGAAGGACTTACACCGATAAAGTATTTTTTGACAATACTTCGAAGTCTTGATTTGAAGATTGATCTCGCACAACAGATTGTCGCTGTCTATATTCATCTTGGACACGGTGTTCCAGGCATTTGTATCCAGCTTGGATAATGGCCCTCGAATTTGATATTTCGTTTGGGGATGTAATTCCCATGTGATTCAACCCAATGATGGGTTTGACTTCCCAAAACCCCTGATCATAATTAGACACTTTATTAATATCTGACACTCTCGCTAGAGTTAAGAATACAAGAACGGGGTTGAGGGGAACATAAAGCATTTAAGATCTCGGAGCTGCACGTTATCTTCACGGTATTGGCATTATTAATTAATCATTCGAATAGTCATGCGACACGTTCATCTTCTTCGCCCATTCTCATCAATTACATCAATCACAATGCAGCCATTACAACCCCACCAACAGCCATTCCCAAGAAACCCCTCATGACCCCGGTTGGTGCAGCGCCTCCAGTCGAACTAGATGTACTTCCACTGCCAGTTCCAGTTCCACTTGCCGTCGTACCAGCGCTTCCCGCACTAGTCTTCGTAGCGGTAGCCGAAATACCAGAAGCCGATGATGATCCCGTAGCCGCCACACTCGCCGACGTACCACCCGTCTTCGTAGCTCCCGTTGCACTTCCCGTGATAGCGCCTAGTCCCTGATTTCCACTCGCAGTATAGTAAAGACTAACCGCCGTCTCACTCGGATACAAATCCGTCAATTGAGTTGCCGTTCCCTCTGCTACGTCTCCTCCTCCCAAGCTATTGAAAATTGCCGCAAAACTCGCAGTAGGTGTACCGGTACAGAGTTGATTGGACGCACTGGTAATAATGGTATTAAATGCGCTGACGACTGCTGGGGATCGTCCACCATGTACATAATCGCAATTGAGACATCCAAGCCAGTTGCTGAAAAATCCACCATGACACATACATTGTGCGTGAGCGAGATAATCAAGAGGCGTGGTGCCGTTGGGGGTGCAGGCGGATTGGATGGTTATTACTTCGATGCAGGGGGGGATAGTGCCTGAGGTTATGTTTGGAGAACAGACGGAGGTGAGATAATCTTCTTCGGACGATTGACGGGGGAGAATGGGCACGAGAATTTCTTTTTCTGGAAGAGCGGATACGATGGTGGTGACACTCGCGAGGAGGACGATTGGGCCGAGGTATGATTGTGGACGCATGGTGGCGTTTGAAAAGTACAGAAAAAATACTAGACTTCGCGATCCGATACAAATAACACAAACAACACTACAAAGAGAAAAAAAAAGAGATGCTTTTGCGAAAGTCTTACAGAATTTATGAATAATTCATCTCACGTCGTGAAGCATACTTAATTAGGCACCTACCTATTGTTACTCGACTCTGTGGAAATTTGTTTGAGCGTAGAAGGGAAAGTGCGATGATATTTGTGACTGCGCTGCATACATCTGACAGTCTGACTGTGACTGCAAGTGATAACTTCCAAAAACATCGTAGTATCAATAGTTTCACTTTATTCTCTGCCAAGGAAATTGGCGATGAGAGTTAGAGGCTTGTCAAAAGCTTGACTTGACGTCTTTTAGCGGGAGGGACCGTAGTGGCATATCGCTGATCTAGATATTGAGCGAAACGACAAACGAAGAAACTCCTCAACTCCTGAGTATAGAATAGTGATTGATTGAAAAGCTTTCGATAGAGAATTGAATTTATTAATGAACGACGATTTGTTTGACCAAAATCCTCTTCTTTTCATAAATTATCTCTTCTCTCACGATCGAACGATTTTCTCGAATTCCCGCAAATTAATTACTAAATATGTGTCTAGTGCTTACCCACATTACCCGACATAAAACCCATATTTATCCGAGCCAATTATAAACCTAAATTGTACTTCCTGTGTCGTATCACTGCAGCTACCCTTGAAAAGCTTGATGAATGAGAACGCAAGCAGCCAAGATACGGAAACGTGGAGAAATCAACTTGGCGGTGTCATTAAAGAAAGATCGGAATCTGACATGAAGCAATGTGAATGAAGCAAACAATAAACGTGGTGTGTTGATGTGAGAAATATATTATTCTCATCAGTATGTATTGTATTGTATTGTCATAATCATAAACCCATATTTCAAATCTCTGTATTTCAGAGTCGAATCCTTATCCATCGCTAACTATCATCATCATTTCGTTTCCACCACTCCAAGCTCCTTCTTCTAACAGCATTGTTCACCACATCCGCATCCACAGCATTCACAGCCAGCAGACTCACCACCACGAAGGTTGGTCTCGGTACCCATGGTAGGAACTGGTTTCTGTAGGGAAAAGATTAGTACGTTGTGCACTCTGGTAGTAAGTCTGTGCTGTGAGAGGGATATCATACTGGTTGTTGCATCTCAATACCAATGTTCTCGGAGCTCATAGGAGCCTCGGATTGGATTTGTTGCTCAACGACTGGTTGTTCGAAAGGCATTTTGAGGAATGTCTAAGTAACTGATAGTCAATAAAGAGGTCTAACAGACTTGAGTACAGATATACTGACAATTTGGAGTAGTTTTGGTAGGGTTGAGAGTTTGTTTGATGGAAAGTGTGTGTAAGTCTGAAGTTTGAAGTCTGAATGAGGAGGATATCAATGGGGGATTTTCGAGCCTTTTGAATTCCCTCAGATCCAGCAAACATGTGCTATCATGGGCCGTGCAGAAATCATTGGCCTCTATGACGTTGTAGGGTTTAGGTGCATGGTGGATACCTCTTCAAGATCTTTTGTTGGCAGACCAGGACAGGGTTGAAAAAACCGGGTGGTTTCGTGTAAGAGACCATTGACCAACCATAACTTGATGAACAAACGGTGAATAGCAAATACCCAACACAGCCACGTATATCTGCAAGCAAATCAAATCTTACTCGCCTCACAATGTGGTATCGTACTATCATGTACCTCCTTCTTTGGTACCTGCATGGTATGCTCCGCGCGCTTCTGGTGTACAAAAGTACAGTTCATCACGCACATGTAAGTCTCACAACTTTACGAGTCAGTAAACATTTCGTTCTGGTTGTTTCACCAAACTTCTATCCCCTGCAAACGAGGCTGGCGATACCGAGTAGCTTGCCCAATTTTTCATTTATCTGAGTGTCAGATCTAGATTCTTTGTGCTTTTCATAAGCTTCGTGCATTATCTGCTACGCCACAGCTTATTAGCAACAAGTTGCGGATCTCGATCTTTTCGCTCAATCGTTACTGCTTAACGTTGCGTTGATCCTGTTCGTATATATTCTGCCGTCTTAATTGTGGAGTAGTACTCTACAGTGTAACGGTCCAATCCTCTATTAAATAGCGCAAATCCTAGTTGTGAGTGTCGAGCAGTCATCTTGAGACTTATCAGCTCAGCTCTCCTAGGGAGGGGTCTGAACCACTCGGGATCCTAAAATTGGTAATATTTCGGAAGAAATTAAGTTTTGGACCCTCGCCATTGCCACCACACGATAGCTCGGACAAGGTTTGGAATGTCATCGAAAGGGGCGCTGAGACCTGATGGTTTTTCTTTCGAGCACTGTCGCATTTATCAAAGAACTTCTTCGACAGTCAACAGAAGATAGCACGTATTGTTAAAAACAACGATGATATCTTATTGCTATTGGTACAGTGTTTCTAAGGGTTTGTCAAAGTATAAATACTTGTGCCCAAACTCAATTCCATCGTCGACGACTAGCAATCGCGGCTGCAATCATTGCATTCACAACTGCCGCAAGTTTGACCACTATCATTGCCGCTACCAAGACTAACACAACTATGAAAAGGGCAGCATGAAACGACGTGCCCCACGCCTACACAAGTCTCCAGGCATAGAGCTGTGCTGTTTCCAGTATTGGATCAGGTACCCATTCGCTGTGGGGGAGCCTAGATAAAGACGTACGTTAGCATATCAGCGACACGAGATAGATTTTGGACCCTACTCACAGGTTGTCGAGTGACTATGGATTGAGCTTCTGTTTTCATGGCTTGCTTTGAAGAAGGTTGTTTGCTGTTAGAAATCATCGTGAGGTCTTGAGTTCTCAAAGATCTGCTTTGTCTTTCATTTTAATTGGTATCGCAGAAACGGTTGTTCGAGTGTACTTGATATCACACATCTTGATCCAAGGAAGTTTTTTGTCGTGGTGATAAGACTTCTAAGGCTCCGTGGAGGTACTGCTCAAAGGTAAAGTTATTCCCAGGATTGTACTTTCGCGTTGTTGAAAGGAAGTATTATGGTAACAATAATCTTTGCAAACGGGGGAGATACTTGGGGGTTGTGCACCCGTTATTCTTCGAGTCATTACATGTTTCGTCAGTTATGAACTCCAATTTCAGTCATTTCAGAAAGATGATAATGAGAGTCTTGAGAGTTTTGACACATACAGAATCACGAAATCAAGAAATCGCTGGAGAATGATAATCTTTTGGATCTTGTAGTGACCCGAAGGTTTATGCCCGGTGACTGGAGATCCCAAACATCCGATTATCGACTACGAGATTCTGCATTTCCCTTCCAAGTACCAATACACCTATAATCACAATTGAAAAAATCCTACTTAACAGACTGAGTTGGGCTATGGTCGCTGAAAGTAACGTTATTGGACTAATGTCGAGAAGTGCAATATATAACCAGCGGGACTCGCTCAAGGAACAGTTAGCAGTCTCCTATGATGTGCCGATTATGATACCTAGGGATTCGTCAACAATTCCTCTCACTGATATCATGATCACAATCACCGCTATTATTGTCCTCAAAGCAGCAGCCACAATCACCATTTCCAAAATGTCTCGACGCGATAATAGCAGATCGTGTTTAATTATAATATTTACGGGATTACGCTCTTATAAAACTGATAAAGAGATGTTAGGCACAAATTATTCGGCTGAAGTATCAACTTTGCAACGAGCGGCCCCACCCTTCATTGCCGGCGTGTGCTCACCCAAGATCGCTCACAGTTACGATAATGTCCTCAAGAGTTTAATATGGATCTTATAATGCTCGAAGGTACTTATTAAGTCAAATTGGACAGCTCGAAAAATGATTTCCCCAACACATGCGGGCTAAGTGAAGCACTGCTCGGCTTCGAAATTGTGTTCTGGGTCGTCGAGATGCGTCACTGGACTTGCTTCTGTACAAATACAGAATTTTCTTTAAGAGTGTTATAATCATGAGATATCAGAGTCATGGTATAATCTTTACTAGTCACCATCATCTATCCGCAGTCATTGATTGACCTTTTCTCCGCAAAGACTGTAAAGGCGAATCGTTCGCATTTTTATATTCACCCAGAATGTACGAAATCTTCCCTTATCTTGATCGATCAAGAGATAAAACCAAATCAAAAAATCGACCTTCGAAAACGATTTTCTCCATCGCAATTTCGTATTGGTTTCTCCTTTCCAATTGATCTTTCACAGAATTGAACAAGATTACCGAAAGATATACATCGCATAATACTAGCAGTCTTCTCCTTCATCGCTCCCTTCTACATTACTCGATCGAGATCTTGTTCCTACACAAACTCACTATCTGCCTCGAGCCCAATGAAGAACAAGACTTGAGAGTTGCAAGATCCTCAATACAGGAAACAGAAAGGCATCGTATTCCATTAGGCAGCTTCTTCCGTCTATTTTCACCTTGAGAGCTAGGTTCAAGGATCGACCGGATAGAGCGTCGAAATTTACAAGGGACAGAAATTTATAAAAATCATCGTTTCACTACATTGATCACGTATAAATGGTCTCCAAAATTGAAAAACGACAATGCTTGGATTTGGATTGCGCGACCCAGGACACTAATTTCTAGCAAACGAAACAAAGAACCCAACGAATATCACTTTTCTACCACATTGTTCAGTTGAGGCATCCCGCACATTCCCTTATATCCTATCCACTTAAACCCTCTGAGCAGCGTTTCCCGAGTACCCCGGCTCATTCAAGCCCTGATGAGCAACAGGGTTCGCAAGATTTGGACCCGCAGCACCCGTTTGCATGGGACCTGTTTGTCCTGCATGTCCTGTTTGCACCGGAGTTTGCATTTCCATTGCTGTGTGTTTTTTGTTGGGGGAGGCCGCACTGTGGTGACCTTCGTCGTGATGAGAGAGGATTTTACCCATGGTAACGGCGAAGGTTATGATGAAAAAGACGCTGAGTTAAGTTAGCGATTGTCTTTCACACCCATCCTCAATCTTGATAAAATGGGATAATGAAGAGAGAGAGAAAGAGGAAATCTCACAATTCAATAGCAGCCAACACCGCAGCCGCAATATACACCCCTCTAAAAGTAGAATAGCTAGTGCTAGCTCTCTTTTCTAACCCCTGACTCAAATCATCTCTCTCTTCCAATTCCAACAGATCGCGTCTACAAAAGTAATATCCGCACCCATAGTAGTTGAATCGGCCACGATAACGACGCACCTGCACGGCGGAAGTAATCCAAGCCGCGAGCCAGAAAATGACGAGGAAGATATCGAGACAGGCGATGGCCCAGTAGTTGTAGATGCTTGTGAAACGGTGGGTAGAGAGGAGGATGTAAAAGATTATTAGGATTGTTGCGCTGGCCTATATTAGGAAGTCTTGTTAGTGGTGTAGTGAAGAATTAGAGTAGAAAATCGATAGACTGGATGAAAGAAAACATACGACGAAAAGATCCAAAATCGCCCCCGAATACCCAATGAATGTCACCACGAAACCCGCCAACCCCAATATCGCAAGCGCGAGAAGAAGTTGTAAAATTCTCAATGCGCTGAGAAATTTACTAGGTTTCAATACATGACCTGTACGTATATCATGGTTTTCGGTACCAGGCCGATTAGTACCGTGATTATTGTCCATTATAGAAAATGAATTTCGAGATGGAAGATGTGGAAGGTGGGTTGGGAATGATGATGATGATTCCTTTCCTGATAAGATAAGTAGAGGGAAGAATTCGGGAATGGAAGCCCTTTTTGAGGAATAGAAGAATGTGGCTCGATGGGTGCAAGTGAGACATGGGGATAAAGAATGAAAGGGGTGGCTTAGTGTGGTTCGCTAGGAACAGGCGAGTGGCAATGTTTTCGGAATAAAGAATGAGGAAAATGTGCATCGTGACTTTTGAGAAATTGCTTGCAGCTGGTTTCTGCTCAGAAGTAGTGCAGTCGGTTGGGAAAATAGTCGCACCTGAATGCGAATATCATGGTTTCAGTTCTAAAATTGGAATTTTGGATGAAAATGACGAATTTGGATTGGTTTATCTTCTTGCTCAAACTGGTTGGAATTGGTCTGCTTTGACGAAACCCTTAGAGATCAAAAAGTTGCCGCATCATAATTCAATGAACATGCAACACAAACTCGGGGACCCTTCTAGGCTCCGTTCAATGAATTCCCGTCGTTTCAACTTCCACGCCAAGCTCTTTTCTCCACGTACACAATCATTTGCTGTATACCCATAAAAGATCGGAAAGTAAGTGTTCGGGGGAAGTATTTTATCAGTTATTCGAATCCAATACAACCACTGACTTGATATCTTCCCTTATTTTCAACTCCCATTTTGTGTCATAACGTCACCCACTATCTCCCAAAAGCTGTCAACATCCATCACAGCCCCAAACTGGTAACAGCGAGATAGTGTGCCCAGACCTCTCTTCAAATTATTCATAGTTTTTGTTCCGCCTACTTTCTCAATATCATCATGATATTTCTCGGCTATCATAAACCATGCCTGAACAGGAGTAATCTCAAAGTCCGAAGTTGGTAGCGACTGCGACATGGCATATAGCTGAGCCAAAGAAACAGAAGAAGACCACGAAACTTCGGAAGTTGATTCATTGAACGCTTCAGGGGGTGCTTGAGCAAAGATATGTGTTGAAGCCATGAGCTCGTGACCGGATGGATCCCCAGCGGGATCAAAAGGGAGAGGTGTACCTGGAACATGGTGAAAGTGGGTGCGACAAGGGTGTTCGAGACTGTAGATACGAAATCAATACATGACTATGTCATCAAACAGAGAGAATAACTTACGCAAGAATGAAATTGATCGCTACAAGCGATATGTCAGATGATGGTTTCTTTACTGCATTTGCAGGCACTGACACTTGACCGGGAAGTGGTGGTAGAGGTTTGGAAAGATCAATCGTCCCATGTTCTTTAGTAGAACTGTCGGATAACTCGCTGATGTGAAGGCAAGAAGCATTTAAAAACTCATCGAATTGAATATTGATATGAGAACTAGATGAAGTACTCGAATATGGTACATCATGATTGTCGGAGAAGTAATTAGTGAGTAGATCACTGTCCTGAGTAAGCATATCACTAATATAGCTGGAAAGTCTATCGTTTTCTGACTCGTAGTCGACAGTTCTAATGGTAGGTCTTATCTCCTGGGTTGTATCGGAAGCGGTAGGACCGCGGAGTGGTTCATATCCTTGTGGAGGAAGCAAATTAATCGGCTGGTCGCCAGGTAGTTTTCCATATCGGGATTTTAAACTAGACAGATCCTCAATACCTGAAGCTGATAGCGTCGATTCTATTGCTCTATTTTCTCTCATCAAGGCCGAACTTTCGTCTTCTGTTTTAGCAATCATCCCCCGAAGACGTATCACATCTTCCTCAAGATGCTTGACATAGTTTTGTTTTCGCTGTCGATGTTCTCTAGGAAAGGATTCAGCAATAGAAGTGAAAAACAATCACACTGGGGGGTAAATTAACATTTGAGCTCGTCGGACTTGAGCTCTTCTATGTTGTTTCTGAGCTATGCCAGATTTTATTTCGCTATTCTCGTCTTTGGCTGCCATCTTCAATTAGTTTCGTAAAAATTATAGTGATGAGGTAGTGTTTTTGAAATAGCTCATGCTTAGTGAGTAGTTGTGTTAAGCGCGTAATCTCTCATGTGAAACGAGCAGCTTAAAGCCTTGAGGTAGACATATATAAGAGGAAAAAGGAAGCTTATAAAGTGAGACTAATGTTAGGTCAACTCACAAGTCTTAAGTCTCGTGATATTTGGCATAAATTTGACCTTCTGGGACGAGATCTTATCAACAGATCGGTGCCAAAATGATGTGAAGGATGCATCTTGGGATTCATCTGCCATATTTGGAGCTCATACGTCTAATCCGCCACAATTGATTCCAAAAACTTCGCCTTCCCGTGATCTCCAAGATAAGACAAGGTCAAAATCCGCATTCAATTGGCATACAAGTCTACTCGTGTTGCAACGGGCTAGCGTCAGCAGAGACAATACTTTTCCTAATTTATTTTGACCACCGACGAACATAGGGAGTAATATATCTGGAAGTTTGAATTCTGAGGTCCAAATTTCTAACACGAGAATGCACGTCAGCCGCATCCTGCGTTTGCTTGTTTGGAATACAAAGTACTCCATGGAGCCTAGTGTCTTGGCTCCGGCTTCTGTGTAATCACGTGATCATTCAAACCCCCTGACCTAAGCTCTTTTTCCTTGCTTCTATACTCATATACACCTTTAATTTTCGCACAATACCTGGGCAAACTAGAGGCTGCCTTTGAGAACGACTTTTCGCATCAAGTGACCGTTTCACCGACGTTTCTTCATGTGTCGGTTCATGCTCCATGCAGTCAGCTCACACGTCCACTCTGGTTGGCTCTTTCTGGCTTGCACCGTGAGCGCTTTCTTGGGTCACACTCGCTAATGCTCAACAACCAATAGAATTTATCTCATTGATTGCCTACTCCAACTTGTTATTCTTCTTGAAGCAATTGAAATCGGTTTCCTATTATTTAAGGTTTTCGAACTCAGTTCATCGCTCAGTGGCGTGATTGGAATGAAGGCACTGCACCTATTCGGATGGTTACATGCTAAGTTCCCGTTAGTTATCATAGTATTTAGCACTGGAAATTACCATTCGTTAGTTAGTTATTTGTCGAAGTTAAGCGCCTAAAAGTAGTAACGGATATGCACTCTTTTCCTGTTATAGAGACCACGCAAAAGAACAAAACCGCGAAGGAGGAATGTCAATTGCGACGTTCCTACTTTCGATACTTATTGGCAGGTCGGATCAAGCGATTGGTTATCCGAAAATAAACAAGGCTTTATCTTTCTTTGAAAAGCGCTAAGATCGTGTTTGAAATTCCGACACGTTTGTGGTGACCCAAACCAAGAAAGAAACTGTTCTCTACTCGGCGACGCTTTTTATGAGGCTCAAGATCATAGAAAGTCGCTGACGATATGATTTTTTGTGTCACAGCCAATTCGAACAACAACTGAAGTCTTTTTACATCAACTTTACATGCTCAAAATCAAACCAATAATTTGTCTTCTTCCTGATTAAACCAAATCATTCTAATGAAATAGTGCAATCTCTTCACACTTCAGCATATTCCCTTCAGATATGAGTTTCTCATATCGTTTGCCCAAATTTGAACAGGCAGGAAAGTTTCACGGCGAAGGCCAATCAGCTTCAAGATGGCTCGAGAGAATTAAGCTTGACATCGCCTCGAGCAACTGTGGTACCATTCCAATTAAAGTTTATTTATGGGCAATAGATGTTCTATTGGATGGATCTGCAGCGAACTGGTGTGATTCAGTCCCCACAATTAAGAACATCTTGGATAATTACGACATCGCAGATGCTTCAGAGACAGAATGGTTGGAGCGTGAGCTTATCAAACGATTTCCTGGGGATTTCGCCAGTACTCCGGTTGCCCGTATAGTTAACCGGCGCCGTTCGTATAGCCTTGACGTGAATGCAGATTCAGATATCACGGCATTAAAACTGGGAGAGCTATTCATTGGAGGAAGACCCCGAAGTCGAAATCAGGGTTCAGAGACACATCAAGCTTCTGAAGGACCTCGTGGATTTGGTTACCATGACGATCGGAATCCCAGACGCGAAACGCGGCAGGAAGCGGTAGAACAAAATGTCATCAACGAGTACCAGTTTTACAACAGACCCAGAGTTGCATCAAGATCACCAGAATATCAAAACGAGCCTCACCGTAGCTCTTCAACTATCAATCGAACGCCACCAGCGCCCAAGAATTATTACAATGATCGGACGAAGACGCCGACACCTTTAAAGGGCATCTTAAAAAACAAAACAGACCATAACCAACCACCAATGACTTATTTTCACGACGAAAAAGATCGCTCAAGAGACAGTTACACTAGAAACCCTTCTCCCTACCAAAGCAATAGAAATACAAACCATTACCGGAACGCCGAGAATCCAGAATCCCGTCAACATCCACAAACAAATCCACCAGACTCTGCATATCGTTCTTCAGAATCGAGACCAGTGTATCAGCAATCAAAAACATCCTACCGAGAAGTCATAATTGAATCATCCAAGTCTCAAATGCCACGCTGGTCATATATGCCACTTCCTGCCACTAGGATCATTTCTCATTCGGTCCCAAAACCGACCCACTTTGACGATGGCCCACTGCAATATCCGAGACGAGCAGAGCCGAGCTCTGGGGCTTGGAGAATACCATATTCAGCCATCGACACACTCGAGCAACGGTTTCGTGATTCAAGTCGAACTAGAAGATAAGAGTATATATCCTAGAAGACGCATAGAGTGGCGATGAGTTTTTTCCAATACGATTGCAGTAGCATTCCTCTTGGAAACTACTCAGACCGGTATTCCCCTCATTTCATGCGACAGTTCTAAAGTGCGTAATCCAAATACCATTCCATCCTCCTGGGAGACCTTCAAGTTAACTCGAGGAATACTGATCATAGTTCCATGCTAACCTCATTGTCAAGATAGAACCTACCCTACAAAGTCCGTGGCTGAATGCGCTACCGTGATAAGGTTCGTACGCATGAGTAACACGTGGATGAGAGTAATGCATGAAGAGATACCATAACCCGTGAGTGGTTGAGGTGAGGCATATCATTTTCATGATCAATAAGAGATTGCAAGATCTAGAATATTAATAAATTTGGCGCTGGGAAGTCGATGAAGGTGGTTGGATCTGGTGGTGAGAAGGAGTTTGAAGGAGAAATGGAAGTATTGAGTGAGGGATACTGTGAATAATGTAATTATGATGGAATACAAGACATAGCAAGAGCTACCTTCAATGAACAAGCCTTAGCGAGTGGTGTGGGAATATAACAGAAGTTGAAGCTGAAGCTTGCTTGGAGAGAATGTGAAGGATGAAACTCACCTGCAACCAAATGACGCAACCTCGCTTCCTCTTTATCTTCATATCCCTTTCACTTTCACTCTCACCGCTAAGCCTTCTTTGCCCCAATTCCTATCAAAACATGTCCTCATAGTCATCGTCTCATCGCCACTTCTCAACAATCGACTTCGAAATCTCAATTGACACATTTATAGCAAAATCCACTTCACATGTCCCAGCCAACGATGGTCATATCCAACAACGATCTACGCCTCAGGTGTTGGCAACAGCTACTTCCCCGATCCAACACCAGCACAAGCCGATTCACACATATTCGAATCACCATTCGAATATTCCCACATCAACAACCGTATGGCAACAGCCATATGTTTTAACAAAATCTCAACAACGGTTGTACAATAGTACACCAATTTCAACTATACAACCACGGTACATCGCGATGTCCTATATGCAATCAATAACAAACATGTCAACTTCCAGCAGGCCGGGCCTTGCTGGCAAAATTCAACCATCGAGCTGTAAAGTTCTACACTACTACAATGATTTCCAACTTCGTCAATATTGACTACGATTTATCTGAATTCGCACCAGATTAGGCTCACTGAGAAACGAAATGCGAGGGAGTACCTCGATTTGTAAGTACACTCCTCATTCTGTGATGAGATGACTGGACTTGGACATCTTACTTATTTTTCTTTTTTTTTCGGATTGAATATCTGGAGACTATCCAATATTGTATTATTATGATTGTGTTCATGTAGTAAAGCAAGAAAATGGTATGTGGTATTGTGTTCATCAATTCTAAAATAGCGCAACGTGTATGAGGTATCTCGTAATCCGCTCAATTCAACAAAAGCTCGCTAATTGGCAGCCAAAATCTCCGCGGCTCCTTGCGAAGGTAAATCCTGAATGTGTTCATCATGTTTCGCATGCATTTCTGCCTCTTTCTTCCTTCTCTCCTCATGCTCATGTGCTTTATAACTTGCATATCTCAAGCTTGTCAACACCATGAATGCCATGAACAATATTCCCATGACTGATCTTCGAGTGAGTACCCATCGGAGACCTTCTATCTCAGATTTGGCGTCACTATTGAGCATGACGGTTATTTTGTAGTTTAGTTCTTGGATCTATGTTGCTGTTAGAAATCACAAGGAGGCGAAAATACAAGAATTACATACTCCAGTTTCCATTGTTCGCTGTTCTTGTCGCACAGTCATTTTGCGATCGTCAAACATTCCTTTTAGATCATCTTTGAGTGTGAGCAACTCTTGAGTGAGCTTTTGATTGAGAATATCGACTTCATGTTGTAGCAATGTCCGTTCTCTGCGCATCTTCTCTTCGCTCGCCTTGCGATTGTTTTGTATTTCGGATTTCAACTCGGAACATGCTGCGCGGAAGAGGTAGATTTCCTATGGGACTAACTGTCAGCAATTGTGCAAAAGTAGTGGCTAACAGTGATTATGTTACTAACATTTTCTACGTCGCTCTTGCTAACCAGACCGTCTTTGGCAACATCCAAGTTAATGGCTAGTAATTCCCTCACTGCCTTCATAGAGGTAATACTCTGATCCTTTGTAAACCCCCCTTCCTGAACCTGCTGTACCAAAGCATATGTATCAAAGTGATGAACATAAGGTGGGGTTTGGAGATGCGGTGGTTTTGATGCGTTTTGAACTTCTGCAGACTCAGGTGGTGGCATATGTAATACTGTTTCCAGTGGCGCCATTTTACCGGTATTTGCAGCAGCTTGTTGACGGGGCGTCAATGGATCCGGACCTTGAGTGATTTTAGATCTCGATGTAGCTCCGGAATCACCAGCTATAATTGAGGCAGCCTGCGTCTCTTCCGATAGTGGCGCTGCAGAAGAAGGACCCTTTTCTGCTTTCCCTTCGTAGTCTTTAGCTTTGTTTGCTTGCTCTGACTCTTTTCCCACTTTTGCATCATTCCGACTCTCTTCTTCCTCTTCCTCGACCTCGATTTCCTTCTCCGGCACAAATACTTTTACATTGCTTTCATTCTCTCCCTCCTTCAAAAAAGGCTCTACAGCTTTTCCATGTCTCTGCACAAAAACATCCCTCCTGTTCTGGGTTGTGCCAAATTGTCTTGGTCGTTGTGTTCGATTTGCTCGTCTGGATTGTATTCGCACTCTAGGAGCAATGGGTTCGCTAGCTCGAATTCCTCGAAACAATGTGGGATATAGAAAGGTCAAGCGCGTTGCAGACATAATTCATATTGGTGAATGTAGAAATCCATGGAGCTTCTGCTCAACAGATTATCTTTGTATGCCGATGATCCTCCCGTCCACGTGGAATGTGGGATATTCAGCCTTGCTGCAAGGCTACGGCTCATGTGCACGGGTCTTTGTTGCTCTGAAGTCCTTCGATTACAACCGCTACGGGTTTTCGGACAACAAGATATCTTGAAAGTCTCATTATCGAGAGTTCGATATTAGAATTGACATGTGGTGTTCACTGATTATCTGGATGTGGGATAGTCTGCTGTTTAGTCAGAAGCTACGCAAATGTGACACGTGAATTCTTTCGTTTCTACGCCCTCGCGTTTGGATTTTGCCTTGATTATGTATGAAATTCAACGTTCAACACTGATTTCACTTGGATGATAGTACCCAAAACGTTTTCCATGATGGCTCAATGCATTGCTAAGGTCTGACGATCACGACACATCCTTGAAGATAATTTTTGAGGCAGTGGTCGGCTCGCTGTGTCGCCACACCATTGCAAAATGAAACAATATCAACCAGGCTTCAATCATATCTTCCCATTCCCAATCACTCTATTTCAATAGAACAGTAATTTCCCTTGCAAAATGCTTGATCATCTCTCAGCACTTAGTCTCACGGCGGCTGTAGTTTAGTTTGTGGACTTTGGTTCAAAAGTCAACTCCACTGCTACCGAATTGCATCACTCCTCCGAGGGAGCCTTGGCCAACAATCTCGAACTCTCAACGATCATCTCGGATCTCATTTCTTTTAGCAATGATTTAAGTGCACGAAACACTAGCCAAGGGAAGTATGCCCGCAATAAAGTCGAGCTAGCGCTCATCGGTCTTGCTTCTCAGTGTAAGGAAGTATCAGACAAGGTATCAATATGGATGGCTCTTGGTCACGAAATGAGCTTCTTGTCGCATTCGAAAAACTTACCAAGAGGCATTTACGGCCAGGCAGGTTTGTTTTCTTCATTGACAATGTGGATGAATACATGGGAGATCAGCAGAGATTGCAAGCCTTTTGAAAGCATTTGCAACATCCCCAGATGTTAAACTTATCGTCTCGAGTCGGCCTTGGATAGAAATTGAGACGTTTATCGACCCAATCCCTAGCCGATTACTGCCATTACAATACTTTACCTGAACAGACGTTCAAAGTTATACTTGTGACTGAATCACCAACCATCCTCATTTCCGCGTCATACAAATATGCAAACGTTATTGGCATCTTATCGAGAAAATATCCAGCAAATCTAGAGATGTTTTTCTCCGGGTTGTCCTCGCTGTCAGGGAGATACTGAAAGGGTTAACACATCAAGATACAATTTCTGAACTGAAAGCTAGACTGGAAGATAGTCCACCTGGACTAGAAGAAGTCTTTGATCGAATACTCAATACCATCGAGAAATGCTATCGCCGCCAAACATCACAAATCATTCAAATGTGTTTAGCTACCAAGGGAATATGGCCGGTAATAAACTTTGCATTTTTAGATGGGGAACAGAATAATCCTGATCATGCATTGCTCGCAAAAACCCCATGGTCAGTAATCACTACGAAAGAGAGAAATACATTACAAGAAAACGAGTTAAAGCTCGTTGTCGTGACTTCCTGAAGTTCAATCCAAACTTCCGTTATCTAGCATCCCCTGATTGTTTTTTTGTCTTTCTGCACAGAACAGTGGAGGAATCCTTCCTGCGGCCTGCTATGCAAAAAGTTTTGTTGAATTTGACAAAATGTCCATTTGATCCTCATCTATCACTGTGTCGCTCATCTACCATGCAGTTGAAAGTCTTCCCACCGGCCGAAGACCTGACGTTTAGCTTAAGATGCAATCGTAATTGTGGTAGCCCACTAGTGTCAAAAATATCATCTTTTATACATCACATCAAAAAGCCAAATATTCGCTGCAATATAACAGTATTCGCACTGATTGAAGAGGTTGATCAAATTGCAACTGATCGGTCTGCTAGCGATAATTCCATCGGATTTTTGATAATGGGTTACCAAAGGCGCTGGGAACACGGCTGGATTCTGGCTTTGTGCGTGCAGCGTCGTATTTCTGAATATTTCTGGCAGAAACTTCAAGAGAACTCGGCTTTGGTAAAAAATCTTGATGGATGCTATCTCCTTTATATTGCTTTGCATCTCAATACTGTCTTAGTCTTTGATGATCCAAATGACGCAGATGATTGGGTGACAATAGTCAATTTACTCTTAAAAGCCGGGGCAGATCCGAATCAGCCTTCTACGATGCTGTCCGAACCCACGCGAGAAATCACTCTTTTCCGCCGACTCAGATGGAGGAAGACCTAATCAACGGAACATAGGCTGCATTTATACAACTTTGGTTTGAGGAACAAATACAGGTTGGGCATCATGTTAGTAGTAGGGCTCGGACAGAAATATTCAGATTGTTTCTCGATCATGGAGGCGACCCTTCCGTAAAAATCATTTTTCGACAAGAATAGAAGGGTATGATAGAGACTATATGTACTACAGCCTATCCGAATATCTGGAGAATGCGCTTCCCGACTCAGCTGACTCCAATGACCTCCTTCTCGAACGAATGAGGGTAAATGAATCAAGAAACAAAAGGCGCAGGGTGTGGAGGTGGCTTAATCCATTGCGTGTTTTAGAATACATACAAGGGGGCGAAACTGAAGTCCTAGACTTGATTTTGATGTATCTCAGCATTATTAGTCTGGAGATACTACAAATTTGCAATTTTGGTCATCGTTAGGAAACAGATAGGGGACTCAATTACGCTGCTGTCTTGGTGTTATTTGGAACTTGTTTTATAATCCGGCTATTTGGTTCCCGTGTAGTTTCTCTCTTAATATTTTGAATGCTTTATTCAAACTTCAGACTCATGAAAAATCACAAAAGAAACTTCGACGCTCCACTTGCTCACATCTTCACTTCCCAGTTTCAACTTCACTTGTTTCTCCGTGACTCAACCATCAAATCAAACAATTCCATAACTGCGGATGTCGTTTTACCTGCACAGTCTCAATCTCAATGCATCTACCCCAAGACTTCTTTCTCAACCAAGCGTCTGACAAGAGTTATAAGTAGTCTATCACAAATTCTCTCACTAGCCATCTTCGCCCCTTTGATTATTAGCATATGGTTCAGAATCCTAAATCTGGATTTAAATCTTCAAACCAGAGAAGAAATAAGAAAATCCTTACATCAATAGCCGACGCACTGAGATCCTCACCTCTTTTGGAAGCGAAAGTTCCGCTACTTATTTTTTTGTTTTCCAGTATGTTATTTATTTGTTTTACATTTTTCTTCCTCTCTCTTCTCATTACTCTCCTCCTTTCCAATTCCTTCCCCCGAAGCCCTCATCTTCACTTTTTTTATTCCCCTTCCCCTCGTACTTGACTCATTTCCTCCCCCATCTCTATCTCCCCTCAATTTCCATCATCCCCCTTTCTCTCCATAACATCCTAACAAACTCTCCCACCTCTCCACCTCTCCACCTCTCCATTTCTCATTTTCTCAGCCTTCGTTCCTCCCACATCTAAACTCCATCATGTTCATCATTAATCCTCTTATTAATTTAGAGTAGACCGCTATCTCTTTACTCTCTCGTGCTCTTGGACTTTAAGAGAGAAAGAGAGGAATAGGGGGGAGATTTATAAAGTGGTCCGAATCTGTGAACAAAAGAGGAATGAATAATAATAAGCGGAAAACAAGTGTAAAAAATGAACTCTTGATTGATACTTCCTTATCTTTCTATAAGATCACTTTTTTATTCTAGGTAGATAGAGAAGCTTAATGGGGTAGGATAGGATAGGATAGGACAGGATAAACATGACAGATAGAACGAACAAAACGAGATAGAATGAATCCCCATCACACTTCCCCAAAAGCTATAAACATGAAGATTCCACCGTTTCCACATCTATCCGCATTGGAAGACCAATCTTATACGCTCAACTCTGTACAATTTTGACACTGAAATCATTTATTTATATCTGCTCAATATATAGGCCCTATTATACCACAGATAAACACACACACACACACATATATATACATTCTAGAACCTTAGACTCACCGAGACGCAACTCAATCCACAACTCACCCCCTTCATCCGAAGACCCAGTGAATCAAGCATAACGAATTGATAAGTTCACCATACATAGACAGCTAAGTCATTATATCATTGTGATCTCATCACATACATACATACATACATACATACATACATACATACATACATACATACATACATACATACATACATATAAATATACATACATACATACAGATATACATAACCTCAAAACCCTCTTCCATGCCAAACCGACCCACGCGAAAGAGATCCAGAGGGAACGAGACAAAATGAAGTAAAATAAAATATAATATACGAATAAAGATTGATAATTCAAATCCAGAAATACACTACCTGTTATCCCTAGAATCTCTTTATTACTTATTACTTACTATAGAATTTCTATATCTCTCTTATTATATTCCTATTTTTATTCTCATCCTTATTTCTATTCCTATTCTAAATAATTTACTTACTACCCTCTACTTACTACTTATTAATTACTATTTATTATTTACTACTTATTATTCATTACTTACTATTTACTACTCATTACTCACTACTCACTACTCACTACTCATTACTCACTACTCACTACTCATACTCACTACTCACTATTTACTATTTACTATTCATTACTTACTATTCATTACTTATTATTCACTATCCCCTTACCCCTAACCCCCTACCTACTACCCACTACTCCATCACCATCCCATGCTCACAACCATCTCAAAATAACACAACACAACACAACACAACACAACACAACACAACACAACACAACACAACACAATACAACACAACACAACACAACACAACACAACACAATACAACATAATAAAATCTCACTCCACCCCCTCATCTCCTAATTTCTTAGTTCAGTATCACGAACAAAGAACAATACTTTACTTACCCACCTAGTATGTAATGTCTGATTGGGAAATTGTTATTTAGTAGTCTGGTAGTCTAAATCAATTGTTTTTACAAAGAAGAAGAAGAAGAATTATAGTAATAGCATCAGCAGTAAGAACAATAACGACAATAACAACCACAAGAGCAGAAAAAGACAGAACAAGTCCAGATAAAATGAAATAAAGTAAAATAAAGTAAAATAAGGTAATAAAAGCATTACTTCCCTAGCACAGTAGAGCACATCACAACACAGTATCGAAACAACATTACAATCTGCACTATAAATTCCAACGCCCATCCTATCTATCCCATTTCTTCCAAACACTTGCTATCTACTTACTTACTTACTTACAACCCACCTTCCATCTTAGATTTCCCACCCGAAATTCAAGCCAGAAACCCACAAGTAAACTAACCACCAAATCCCAATCCAAACAAACAACCTCAACATGCCGAACCCCTCCCAAAACAGGTGTTTCGCATCCCGAAGAGGAAGTCTCGACAGCAACAGCCGTGACAGACCAACCATCGTTCCTCCCCCGAGAATTCGCTCGAATTCCCTCCCCTCTCCCTCTCCCATCCAAGCCAGACCCTTCAATCTCAGCCGTAATCAGCAGAACATCAACGCAATCGAATCTCAGAGACGACGATTCGAGGAGTTTCGCACTCAGAGACAGAACATCAACGCGATCGAATCTCGGAGACGACGATTCGAGGAGTTCCGATCCCAGAGACAACGAAGAGGTTCAAATCCTGATGATGGAGAAGGAAGCGGGGAGGATGAGAGTGGAGATCAATAAAAAGAAGAAGAAGAAGTTGCAGGAGTTAGAGGATCAGTTGGAGGCGGAGAATAAGGAGAAGGGAAGAAGACCTTCTCAGTAGGTGGATGAAGTCGAGAGAGCGGTTGACGGTAGGCTGATCCGGGTATTTCCTTTGCAGTTTTCTCCATTTCTTTCCGGCGGACTCAGGTAAGTCTCCAAAGTATCGAAAATCTCCAAACACCCTTTTCCCCAATAAAAATATAAAAATCTATCTTTGAATTTTAGTAATCTATTGACCAATTTATGAACGTGAATATTGACTTGCAGTGAAACCATAAATTTTTTGAAGAACTATTGTGAAGTCCATTCTTAAAACTAAAGAAACACTAGTTAGTGTGTAATCCGTCTATATGTACCCTTCCAACCAGGACCTTGAGTTTCCCTTACATTTCTCCCGTCTCTAAAAGGGATGTAGATTCCCTAAGACGTGATATCGACATTAAAATAAAGCCGGTATTGATCCTTCATTAATAGAATCCTGACTGCCACTACGCTTACGCTGAGATCTGATCTCAGCCAACGCCGCCTGATTAACTGCACTTTTAGTGTAGATATCCACCGCACAACTAACTTCCACAAAATCTTCCATCTCTTCACTAACCGTCTTGAGCTTTTCTTTGACAGATGCTATGCCTTCATAGCCCACAATATGTCTTGCTGGCGGGTTCTCGTGGCCTCCAATCGCCGTCAAAGCATGAACAGTTTCCATGACCAGCTTATCTCTCGATTCGCTAGGTAGATTAGGAAACCTCGACTCAATGGTACTTTTCCCAGTTTGTGGTTCCATCCGAGTATCTGGATGTGAATTTAACACGTGCGTCAAGACTTCCCTCAACTGTGGAGCCGGATTATTCTGAGGCTCATATTGTGGTAATTGTGGAGCGAAAGTAATTTTGTTTGTGAGGAGTGGGATCTCTTTATTCGGTTGAACGATTGTCAATTTTATGTTGAATGGAGCAATCTCATATGTCAGCGCATCACAAAATCCTTCCAGGGCCCATGTCGCAGCACAATACATGGACATTCCAGGTGTCCCTATGTGACCAGTAATTCCAGTAAGAATAAGGATATGACCGTCGCGTTTTTGTCGAAGATGAGGTAAAGCAGATTTGATAAAATTGATCTGACTGAAGTAGATGGCTTCGAATTGATCACGAACGAGACTTTGAGTAGCTGGATTTGTCGACAGTTCTTCTACCGTACCAACCACAGCTACACGGGTATCAGCATAGCATTGAAATGAATGTTTCATAATAAAATACCTTCTGATGAAGAGCACAACAGGATATCGATACGACCAAATACTTTGATGGCCTCTGCAATAGCTGCTAAACATTGTGATTTGGCCCTATCAAAAATTCAGCATGAATTCATCCCACGTTATGGAAACGGAAATTTTAATGACCTTCCATCAACCCTAATACCTCGAATTCTATCTTTCCATCCCTCACACTGCTTCTTACTACTATTGCAATCATTAATGAGTTCCTTGAACTCTATGCATCGCTCATCATCCTCGATTTCACTTGGCGGTAGACCAGCAGCTACATAATCGCCATGCTTGAGGAGGAGTCTGATTAACCGAACAGACAATGGAGATAAAGCAGAAGTTAAGAACCAAACTCGGGGTGAGTTATGTGTAGCTATTATTTCTTAGTAGGGGAACAACTGTAAGCAACGAATGGCACTACACACGAAATGATGCAACGGGGATTTTTAAAGGACTGTTTGAAGGGCCAGCTTCTGAGTTCTTTCGTTCCATTATCAGATGATACAGATATCCAAAGTATCTCTGTAAAAAATCGAGAATGATATCACGATTGAAGTTTGCTTTGAATGATGAGCTATGAGTGAGGTTTGAGGTGGTTGAGGAAAAGTACAATGAAGAGGAGATGTACTTAGATCACGTGAATCGTTCTTTTGACAAGGGTAGCCTCACGAGATTTGCGCTAATTCAATTGAATCAATGAAAAATCTGGGGTAAAGCTACACCATCTCTTTCCTCTCACCTCACTCAGATAATAACTTTCCTACATCACAAAAATCACAACTTCCATGATGCATTCGAAATTTAGTTCTCTGATTGGATATAGGCCCAGAATGAAGGATGATCGATCTCTAAGCAAGTATGTCAAAGTTAGTTGGTTTAGAATCAATCAATTCTGTAACTTTTTCTGTTAGTTTGATCATCTCAGAAGAATCTTTCTAGATGCCTTCGATCGATTCCTCTGAACTCAATATCATAATCTCCACAAATGTAATTGCTCACTTGTGAAAATGGTTTTACTAGCTATCACAATCAATAAACACGAGCTCCAAGCGTCTAACCGTCTAACAGGAAATAATATCAAAATAAAACCATCTTATTAACCTTTCCTTCCTTTGAACTTTGGAGCAAACGGTAAGAATAACGACAAGCCAGATTATATTAGACTGATCCAGCAAGCTAGCAAGTATACGCCATTTCATTCCCTTTATTCCTTTCAGCCCGTTTTCTTGCATTCTATCTCCGTTCCAAATACTCAAACCCCGGAAGAAGCAGTGTGCGAACAATGAAGAGCCCATGCTCACCAATTTTGAATCAAGTAGAATAATGATAACCGATGACAACAATCAAACTACTCAAGCAATACAAAGATGTAGAGAGCTCCATTTACCACAAGCCGCAAAACGAGATACAGGATTGATGTCTATTTCCACCCGTTACCGGCGACAACGGTCATGCATGTGCATAATCCCAACTCTTTGATTGTATACATGGACATTTATAAGAAGTATGCTGCAAGACATCCAGCAATGGCAGCAAAACTCAAACCAATAGTGGCAGCACCTGCTGTGACTTGAGTTGGTTTGGCAGCAGCCACAGTACTATTAACATTATCTGCAGATCCAGGTCCCGAGGGCGAATTTACACCATTGGCTACCGTTGCAGGCCCGAGACCTAAGGGTGGATTTGTGACATTAGTAAGGGTAGTAGATGCAGAACCCAATTGCGAATTTGTGCCGTTGATAATGATAGCGTTACTAGCACCTGAAATAGTAGTATTGCCAGTTCTGGTGGCTGTACTGGTATCAGTTCCAGTACCAGTGCTCGAGCCAGTGCCGGGTGATCTGCCAGAAGATAAATTAGGCTTGGAGACCGTTTGATCGTAATGGGCACAAGTATTGTTGGGCGCTAGAGGACATGTTGTATAGGTGCAGATTGATTGCAGTTGACGTCCTTGTTTGGGAATAATAGTCGTTGGTGGCGAGCAACGGTAACCAAACAACTGTTGGAGCGAGTAACCGATCATCGTGAGATCTGAATCAGAAACACCAAAGGATGCAGCGGATAATGCAACTTGTTCGATGAAGTAATTGACTTCAGCATCAGAAAGATACATGAACCTACTCAACGTTGTCAGAAATTTGCCTTGACTGATGTGGTGAACTTGGGTATAAAAGGTAAGAATATCATGATCAAGTTGACGTACTTATGAACGTTATACTGAGATGCAGAACCAGAATATCCCGGGAAACCAGGGCCACCTTGTTTGGAGCATGAAAGTAGTACACCAAAGTACTGGTAGAGATGGGTCAAGAGGGAACTATTATGATTAGTATTATTTCGTATCAGTTGTCAGGGAAGCTCACTATTGATTGGTTGTATCGGAATTGGCAGGCTGATAATTACGGAGACTATCTGCTCCTCCACCATCGAGGAAGTTGACAGACAATGGTTTGTTCCCTCCATTGGTAGAGACGAGCTCACCGTTGAAGTACGGCAACAAACTGACTTTGATACCATTGTAAGTTCCGTTGGTGAGGATACCAGAGACCTTGATACTAGGGGCTGGTTGATCTCCTGCAAGAGATTGATGAGTGAAGAGTATTGCAGAGTTTTGCATGGGGACTTACCGATATTACCAATGAGAGCCCTGTTGACCACATGGACTAATAATTTCTTTTGATTGAAAGCAGTATTGTCCTTGAACAAAGCAGTGGTATAATAATCACAAATACTAGTGCCTGCCGGACGTTGGGTAACAGCTGTACCAACAAGGCTCAAAGTCGCCACAGCAAGAAATTTGAAATGCATGATGAGTGAAGTTTTAAGACGATTCAAACGGCAAGATTCAGATGATAACGCGGGAAGAAGGATCAAGTTTTGATTTAACCAAAAGTGATGGAGCAAAAGCGATCAAGTAATAAAGCCAGCTGGATGTGATGATGATGTTTGTAATGAAGAGAAAAAGAATTGGACTGGAAGAAGAGAAAGGCGTTATGAGTGGGGATGTAGATAGACTGGGTGGGTAAGAAGACTTCATTCTTTCCATAATATGTGGTCTTTGCGAATTGGGAAGCGACGTTACTGAGTTTGAGCAGTTGCTGACTTACTATCAAGCAGCGAGGAAAGAATTGAACCAAGATGCGGAGCCAAGAATGAAGCCGAAGAATGGAATCGTATCTTCGTTGAGAATTTAGCACGAAATGTCTCTCCCCCAAAGAAATGAAGCTTCCCAGAAACAATACCGCTAGTCAAAATTTCAAACTTTTTTCCAATAGCCAGTGCAGGTGCTCGGGAGAACAATCCTTTGACACCTACACTAGCATCTCCTATAATTATCGACATCCGGGAACTGTAGAAAAGTGATTCCATGTTAAAGCACCGGATATTTGAATCAATTTTCTGTATCGATTGTATGTATTGAGGGCAAATCCGTACTTCATTTGCAGGTGTCATTTCAACGCAAATTTAGGATTGTCAAAGTCGACGTCTGTTTTCGTCTCATCAAATTCAGATAATTGCAAATCGAAGCTCCAATTTTTTTTATTTTTAAAAAAGAAATCTAAAATTGGAGTTTACCCCCAGAATGATTTAGATCTTTTCGTCGGCTTTAGAAAATACAGATGGCAAGTTTCTTGCGATCCGTTCATGCGCCGAAAGATGCATCCACTCCTGATTGTGAGAATATAAGAGAATATAAGAGAATATAAGAGAATATAAGAGAATATAAGAGAATATAAGAGAATATGAGAGAATATAAAAAAACAGTAGAGAATAGTAGAGATGAAATGGCACCGGCCAAAGATATTGCCCAAGCGACTACTCGAGTTCCCAGGAAGTGTCCAAACCCGACGGAAGTAAGTAATGTATCATTCTCCGTTGCAAGTCTCTGGAGACATGGACACATACCGCTTACCTGAATGACTCTATTGCCTCGAACCATATCGTTGATTCATTCGTTAACATGACAGATTGACAACGACTAGTCAGAGGCCATATCGGACACTCTGTACTCGTGTATCCTATGCATCATCAACACACGAAGCACAAGAGCCCAAGTGACGCACATCTCACATCTCCCACACAGCCCCATCTAGCTAAGCTGCTACACCGACCTGTCTACAAACAGGAAGTTGCAACTCGATAACATACGTACCTAGTACACCTCAATCGTCGACCACCCAACATCCAGCAAGCAAACGATCAGCCCTGTGAACTCCCCATCGAATCCAATTCCGTATCTCGTCAAACCAACAAACTCACAGATTATATTGTATTGTATTGTATTGTATTGTATTGTATCATCCTGTGTAAAGAAAGGTTCAAGATCTAATCGCATCACATCACATCACATCGCATGACATACGGTGTGTAGGTGTGCTCACTCAAGTGTACTCACACACCGGATGTACGTATGACGAAGTTTCAGCTCGTCATCTCTCTCGTCATCCCTCGGAATCCAGATCTGGTATGTGGTATGCGGTTTGTGGGATTTGGGATTTGTTGCAGACTTGTACTCGTAATTATAATCGGTGATGACCTACTTGAGGTTGGTGGCTGGGGAAGGATTAGTAATATGGGATTTGATGTTCGGTGATGTATCTGAATAGTTAGTAGTAGTATAGTAATATTGTGGAAAGACTCTTATGAATATGTATATTGTCTAGATATTTATTGTATTGTATCGTATTTCATTGGATTATGTTGTATTGTTAGTATATCTTTCTTCTTCACCGTTTGACAGACACCGCATTTATGCATTGATGACATAATGAATGGTGGAACTCAATGATGATAGCTTCGGCGCATGTTTTGGTGGGTACATGGAACATGATTCTAGAAGGCGTTTTGATGGGAGTGGAAAGATCAAGGCGATTTGTGTATGTGTAGGAGCGTATGTGGTGTTGTAGATGGGATTTGGAGTATTGACTGTAGCTGACTATGGTCTGGACAAGGGAATACGAGGTGGACTATAGAATATTGACGATGGATGGTATGGATGGTATGGATGGTATGGATAATATGGATAATATAGATGGTATGGACTGGACTTTGGTAGACTGTGGAGAGGGATCTCCCGGGATCCCTATCGGTGGATGGATATATGAATGGATATATGAATGAGTAAATCTGCTCATCCATCTCATATACCTACAATGCCGGCATACGATACACATACCTACCCAGGTACTCGGTCAATAGTGAATTCATAAAAACAAAGTCTATCCTCACGTCAAAAAACCAAGAAACCCATTCGTACTTGGTATAGAGACTTGATTGTTTCATGAAATCCAACTTACCAAATCTTTCCCAAATGTCTAATAATAATTTCACGAAATGCCGGCACGGAGATATCTTATCCACATCTGTCAGATCCCCCCAGCCACTTTCAATCTTTTCTCCATGTTCCACCCATGCTTCAATCTGCCTACATCGTACTAAATATGAGCGAGGGGCGGAAATTTGAGGCGCATTTTCGACCCAAAAACAAAGAAGAAAAAAGGTCCCATGAAAATCGGATCGACCACATTCAGATTAAATTGAATTGTAGCGTCACAGTAATAATTTCATAATGTGATATTTTATAACTATTTTATGATTTTATGATTTTATGGTTTGATCGGTTTTATCAATTTTACCAATTTTACCAATTTTACCCAATCTTGACCCAATCTTGAACCAATCTTGAACCAATCTTGACCCAATCTCGAGCCAATCTCTCTTAGACACATACAATTCCATCAATCAACCGTCAATTTGACTTGTACTTTTCGACCACTTCTACCATTTCTTTTTCCTATTTGCTTATCCTTTACCATTTACCACTTGCTATCCTTTTTTTTCACTCAAACTGTCTCCAGTGTCTCCTCTTTATTCCTTGCACCTACATTAAATTCAACCTACCTCGTACCTATCAATCATTCCATATGCTCTCACCACCAATCTATTATACTCGTTACACTCTTTATCGTATTCCTTGAACCTTTCCGCTTTCCGAGAGCTCCATCTCTATCCATCTCCATTCATCTCCAATCAGCTCCATTCATCTCCATTCGTTCACACAGAACAATTGAAAGGGGCAAAAAGAAGAAGAAGAAGAAGAACAAGAACAAAAAGCAAAACTCAAAACTTCCAAGAAGTCTCCACACCAAGAAAGAACGAGATCACAGATTTAAGAACATCGTCTCGTCTAGTCCCTTCTGCAAGGTGCGGTGTTCAAGACAGCTTGTGTACAACGACCCACCCTAAAGAAAATCATGCAAGCAACCGCCTTGAACGACGAACTACGAAGCCTGTAACAGGGCGTCACTCGAAACAGCTTGCATTACCTTTCACCTTCTCTTTATTACCAAAACTACCATGTTTCAACCTTGCTTATGCTTGTAGACCATCACTCTTTTAAGGTCTCTTGTGAGCAATGCGCCTGCGATTTCCTCATTAAATTAATACACCTCTAATCAGAAAACATAATCAAACATGGAGAGTACAACAGTTATGACTCCTTCTACCTCGAGGCTTGCTCCTCCAATCCTACACCCAAGATCTTCCTCAAGAACAAGATCCCCAAATAGATCCTCAAGTCGATCACACGTTGCCGATGACCTCCTATCCGACCTCACTCCCACCACAACCCTGCAAGCTTTCACTACACCCACAGGAAAATTGAAGACGAGCATCGAAGCAGCTTCTCCTGCGGATCGAGCATTTGGCATACGAGCAACTTTAGCATCCAAGAAAGTACAAGAGTGGTTGGATGAATTATCAGATTGGCCATGGCCCAAAACTGGAGGATCAGCGGGATTCGAAGCTCCCGTCACTTCAAAGAAGATAAGAGTATCACGGCCCAAGTCGGACAATGAAACGGAACAACAGGATGAAGAAGATACAGAGCCACAATACTGTGGGAGTCTCTTATTCGATCAGGTTGTACGATATGAGTATCGGATAGAAGAAATTGGAGAAGGTATGGACGATTTGAAGGTGGAAGAAATAAAACGACGGGTCTTGGATACACACTTTTCTGCAAATTCTCGACCTTCCTCTTCTGCGTCTACCATTGCCATACCGGCTTTCCTTGCCTCGTATACGATGATGGATGATTTCACAGCTATAGTTACGGCCACGGTATTGCAGGCATTACCGAATTTGGCAAAATTGACGCGTTTATTGGACATATGGGGTATTCGGCTCTCTGTACTTCGAAGAGTGCCGCCTTTGTTGCTGGGGTTGGATGATGCGGAGATGGCGTTAAACTCGGGATGGCAGGCTATAAAGATGGCAGGGGCAAATGCTACTGGTTCTGGTGAAATGGGGGATACGGTTCTTTCTCGCCAAACTTTCGAAGTCATGAAAAATGTTTTACAGGCCAAAGTTACGATTCTTGGGAGAGATCTGGATTATATGCTGGATACCTTGGAAGGCAGGATGGACACCTTACCCGATAGCTGGTTGGACCGGATGGAAAACCTTGAACGGGATTATGGCGAATGGGTCGTTTCAGCAGATCGTAAAATTACGGATGGAGAATTGGCCGCAATCGCGACTAAACAGGCCGAAAATGATGCGGCGTGCGCAGAAGATGCTAGAGCCCTGTCAACATCTGCGATAGAAAATGGTCCAATGGGAGGAAATGTGAATCTTCACGAAGTGGAGCCCACTACCCCCTTCAATCTGAGTCTGTTAGTATCTCCAACGGGTTGTTGTCTACACCAGCGAAAACACCAAATCCATGCGCGGCTCAAGTTCAAGGCCACGAAGCTACGCAAACTTCAATTTCGAAAAGCCCATCTCCTCCACAAACACCATCTTCATTATTAGATTCTCATAACTTGCAACAAGCTGGCAGCGGTGCGCTTTCACACACTCCATTGACTCGCTCGTCTAGCGTCAGGAGCTTCACCAAAGTTTCCAAATTCGGACACACTTTCGCAAATGCATTGAGACGTACCATTTCGAATGACGAATCACCACAAACTTCGAGTCAGGATTTACACATCACAGCTCCAAAAATTTCTATACGACCATCATCGGCGATTCTTGATACATTTCCGAGTCCAACTATGAAGTCCCCTACAGGATCTAGACTGCCAAGATTGCGTAGTTCGAGCTCACCCCATGTCATCGGAATAGAACGGGGATTCTTTGCTTCCAAGGATTCAACCACTTCTCCAAAGAAGGATTCTGTCTTGAATGCGCCAGCTTCTAGCATTGCTTTAGCAAAACAGCTGGGCATTTCTTCCACATCCCACGAATCGGCACAGGATAGTCATGTGAAAGCCCAGAATATGAAGGCACCAGCATATCTATCTAGCGCGTCTCGCAATTCCACAATAGCTAGCAGTGACGGTGCTTCAGAAAGTGCTCAAAGGCTTGGTCCTGATGGGATGGAATTCGATATTTTAGATGCACAGATGGAAGCACGCAGACCTTCCATAATTGTTGATGCTTCAGATGATTCACTCTCGGACCGTTGCGAATCTAAGATGACGCCAGAGGCCAGTCCAAGTCCTGTCGATCATGACTCTGATGGAGCATCTACAGTCACATTTGAAGATTCCCCTCTTCCACGAAAATGGTCACATGATCTTCAGAAATATGATAACACTCCACCTGGCTCTCCACCAGGAGTCCCAACCAAAGCTATACGCCGCCCTCGTCAACTTCTCGAAAGTCCCGATTTCTCCCACCTAATATCCACACCCGATTCCTCTTTTTTTCCTAGTGGCAATGCTCTCGAATCTATCCCTGCCTCGCCCGTCAGCAACAACAGCGATGACCAAATGCAACAACAAATTAGTTCTCTACTTCAATCAATTCCAGCGCATATTCGGCTTCGCTCCGAACCAGAAGAAAAGGCAGATACTAAAGGAATTCGTCCTCGGAAGACTCGTCGCTCGGTTACTCCCTCGATGCCTGCAGTTCGTTCGCAATCTTCAATTGGCAGCTTACGTGCCCCAACTCCATCATTTACCCTCGCTCCTGCGTATGCAAAGAGTGGCACTCCGCGTCACAGACCTCAGAACGGTAATCCAGAGATTAAAGTTTATCATCTATCTAGGTCAAGTGGTGAAAAGCCAATTAAGCTTTTTGTTCGCTTAGTGGGCGAAAATGGTGAAAGAGTCATGGTACGTGTTGGAGGTGGTTGGGCAGATCTTGGAGAGTATCTCAAAGAATACGCAAGTCATCATGGACGACGAGCGCCAGTTGATAACGATAAAGTTGAGGTTCAAGATTTACCATCACGTATTCCATCTGGTGGTTCTACTGTTCGTGATAATGGTCGTACTACACCTGGACCTGGTCGTAACACACCTGGTCCACGTTCTGCATCTGCGATGAGTGTTCGTCCATCAACTGCTGTCGATCGACCTAAATCATCCCTAGGTGTTCGCAAAACAAGGAAATCTACATTCTCTTCTTCTGATGCGGTGCCTCCTCTTCCAGCTACACCATTTGCTGAAGTTCAACGGGAACCAGATGCGAATCAGACCCCTCAATCAGCAGTATCTAGAAGTTCGTCAAGACTGGATTGGAATGAAGAAGATACTTCGTTAGGTCTTGCTGGACCAAGAGGTAAACAAAAGGAATTAGATCAGAAAGATCTGGAATGGGTTGAAGGTATGAAGGAGAAAGTCATGCTGGCAAGTACGGAGAAGGAGAAAGAAAGACGTAAAGGCGGTCATAGACAAAGTCTGGGAGAAATGGATAAGGTTGGAGGTACTAAGAGGTTGTTCAGAAAAACTTCAAGGTTAGAGCTATAAGCGAGGAAGTCGACATCTTCTTGCATTGCGATTGGATTATTGTTTTGTTATTGCATAGCGTGCGTTGCTTGCTTGGGAAGGGAAGGAATTCATTTCATTTGTATGGAGTGGAGATGGGAGGATACTGAGTAATGGGATGGGTGGATGGACGGGTATATCTCAATGAGGATCTAGCTGGCTAGCATGGTCATGATATGATATGTCATGCATGATTGACTAGCGGATACATTATATAGTTTTTTGTCGTCTGGAGTATATTCTTTCACGGGGAACAGGACGGATTTGCTGGGGTAGGATAAGACGGGATTGATGGATTCACCTTACAGATTATAGGGTCCATTGTTAATTGGAAGGTCGGACATGGACATAGGGTAGGGTAGAACAGAGCACAGCATAGCATAGGTAGCAATCAAAGCATGGAAGGACAGAACAAGGATACTTTGACTTGACTTAACTTGGGATACGAGAGATAGATAGGTACCTACTTGAGGCTTGCAAAGAAGAGCACATTTTAGATAAGGAATATGGAATATAGAATATGGAATAGAAATAAAAACCCCTTTTTTGTTCCTTTAAGATTTAGTGACATGATTGAGGTTGATTGATGACGAATAAATGGGATTAAAGGGACAGATAATAGTATCTGAGGAGATGACAAAGTAAAGAAGATGGATCAGTAGTGAGTTTGGGATTTTAAACGAGAATGGGAATATCATTGGTAGATGAAGTAAGTAAGTAAGTAAGTAAGTAAGTAAGTAAATAGGTGAATGTGTATGTGTATGTATGTATGTATGTATGTATATATGTATATATATATAATTATCTAATCATCTAATCACATCCTGGTTTTTGTATTTATAATAAGGGAAGGGTGTAGATGTTATTTTAGATTAGATTAGATTATATTATATTATATTGTATTATATAGAATTAATAAGTAGATTGGGTTTGGAAATTGTGATTTAGGCGGTTGTTGGGATGGTGGAGGGGGATGGTGGAGGGGGATCATGAAAGGGGGAAGTTTGAGAAGGGAATGATGGATGGATGGATGGATGGATGGAGGGAAATGGTTTTTCGTTTTGGTGGGGAGCTTTCTTGAGAAGTTGGAGGGGGGTGAGAAGTGTGAGGAGAAGTGTAAGGAGAAGTGTGTGGAGAAGTGTGAGGAGAAGTGTGAGGAGAAGTGTGAGTAGTATGAGAATATGCATTTGTGGTATTGGTATTGTTATTGTTGGAAGTGAAGAATAAATGTTTGAGGGGAGGGAAGGAGGGATTGGAAGATTCGTTCTTGGGTTTGGGGTTTGGTGCTCGGTGTTAGGTGATTGTGATTGTGTGTTGATCTGTTGATAGAGAGGATTTCTGGAATGGTATGTCGAGGTTGGTAAATCGTTATACTCGAATACATGGTTGTGGAAAGGATACAAAGGATGATTCATCATGTTGAAAAGTCGATTGAGGAGCAAATTATAGGGAGTCATTCGAGCTTAAGCGAGCTGACTCCGCAATTTAGTCGTGGAGTCTTTCAGTGTTATGGTTGGAGTTGGATTGCTTAGCTGTCAGGGAAGGAGAGGGGAATGATTTATCTCATTCTTTCCTTTGGTTATTTGTACACTACTATTTTGAGTGGTTCGAGGCTCTGTGCTGTGCGTAGCTTATATTTTGGAAAGCTCTTTTTGCATGATACAACTGTAAGACTGATTGATTATTAGGTACCTATTTAATTTGATAATAGTATTATATCTTTGGTCTTTGAAACGTCACAGTGATATTTCATTCCGCCTTCTCGTGGGTCTATAAAGCATACTCACCTACACTAGTTCGTGTTGGATATACTTACATACCAAATCATATTTCTTTCTATTTATAAATCAAAATATAAAGGGTTATTCATATGTATTACTTTATACTTAATATACTTATCTATCAAATAGTATTTCCTCCTTCTTCCCATCCCATCACTTCTCATCTCCAAAACAATCCCGTGCAATCTCCCACTCACTCCCTCACATCTCAGAATTTCTATTTTTCCTCCTCAAATACTTCAAAAATCTCGCACCGTCTCCTCTCTTAATCACAATACCTCAAGCTTACTCCCTCCCGCAAGACCTGCCTTCTTGGCTCTTTCCGTGAAGTACGCGATAAAATCTGCACCCAGGGTTACCACGTTTACTTTATCCATCTCGCCTAATACATTTCCACCCCTCCGAACCAGAAAATCCAATAAAGCACCATCAACATGAAAACCCTCAATTCATCTCACCATCCCACTCCTTCTCCCCGGGAATACCTACATCTATGCATATGAATACATTTTGTTCAGCAACTAGTGGAAGAAAAAAACGCAAAATATGCATGTTTCTCTCTGCTCAATATTGCAACGCACAGTAATCCCAGATTCAAAAATGGTTATGGCTAAGAGTAGTTATTCAGAAGCTGTGAAAGGATGTTAGACTCGTAGAGTTATCACTTAAAGTATTCTAACTCTTGTCGGAAGGATCAATGAAGTTGATTCTGAATTGAGAATACATGATGGCTTATGAAGATCTATCTGATATCATAAGAAGTCTTGGAAATGTGTCATGATATGTGACATATTTGAGTATCTTGTTATCTTGAATCGAGATCGACTTCTATGCTGATTCAATATGCAATGCTCTAATGACTCGACCAATCAAGTTGAAATCCTGCTCCGAATCTAACCAGATAGCTCCGATCAGAGCTTCGACTGTTGTCGCAACCGTGTATGTGGTCGGCTTGCGCTGGCTAGCTGGGAGAACCATTTGATCCACCAAACCGTTTTGCTGACCGATGGTCCCAAGGTTTTGATTTGATGCATTCTTTGACACACATTTTTGAGATGTTGCTAATATATGGTCAGCGATCGCTCATGGTCGCGAGTCTATTTCTTACCAAGTTTTGCGCCCTCTAAATACTTAGTATGGACGAGCTCAAGACGTATCAATGCATCTCCAATCAGGGCAAGTCTTCTGTTGCCCTGCCGCTCGATAATCGAATCTGCTCCAGAAACAACTCCACTCGTTACAAGTGCTTCTTTGAGCAATTGCTCTTCCTTGAAGTCGTAATTCAAGTTATCCTGCACGAACGTTTTGAGACACATGGTTGTGGGAAGGGACTGTGTGAAAAATTATTGGGAGAGAAATTTGATGTTATAAAACAAATGTAGTTTTGATGGGATATATCACTGCTATGTTTCTCGCTGTCCATGACACTTCTTATACCACAATTATCATTGAGTTTCGACTCCTACTTACTTCATCTAAAGCATACTCGAATAAAAGAACGCGTCAAAAGCCAGGATTTCGTATGTCCATGACATCAATGAGCTATCATGAATGTACAAACCTTCGGCATACCGATACTGTGATGTCTTTTGCCAAATACGATGAACCCATTTTCCCTCATCAGGAAGTTAAGTGTTGGATAGGAAGATATCAGATCACAAAATCTTGGATATACAAAGTCAAATGAGTTAACTCAAATTCTATCAACCATGTCAAGAATTAGATAAGTCACTTGTTGATCTACTGGCGTCTGTAGGGCACGAATCATAAAAGTATATACTGCTGAAAATTCAGGTTAGGGATATTGAGGTGCCGAAAGATTTGACAGTCTCAGAAGAATCCATATCCGTAAATTCTTTTGCCTTGTGAACTCCATGAAAACATATCAAATATATCAACACATATTAGTATTTACTGAATATACAACTTGAATAATGGGGTTTTATCAGAGCGGGTTCTTCTTCTTACGATGCGAATTTTGACTTTATTAGACGGTAGGTATGAGTTTTGCCAAAGCTAGAGATGAAACTTACAAAACTTCTCATCATATCACGAGGAAGTATCACATATCTCATGAGTGAGTCACCTTTGTACATGGTATGTAACATTGCGTATGTCCTGCAATCATAAAATAGTTCCAGTTCTATCTGCTCACGAAGTTGATAGGTGCAGTATCACGTATGCAACTTCTGATACTGGGAAGATTCAAATCCTCAAGGACTTTGTTACTTCTCTGTATAAAAAGAGGCGTTGTATTTGAATGGAATTAATACAACGAGCAGGAATATTAAGTTTCATGTGATTCTCCCTTGTAAATTGATGACTTCCAACGATGCTCTCAGCCCATTCCTGATATGTAAAAGGCTAAATCATAGTTTGAAGTCCACGCATATTGCCGGAGAGTTCTACATTCCTCCTTAACGAAGACGTGTTAGCTGGGTAGTCGGTAAGCTTGAATTTCTTGAGGCCTATTGTCTTCTCTCAAAAGCTATGAATCACTTTAAGTCACTCATGGTTTACTAAACTCGCTTTATTAGCTTTGAAGTATAGGGAAACTTTCTGAGCTTATTATGTCACTGTGCAAATATTGAGAATTATCAAAGAAGTGAGAACAGGTTTCGGAAAACACAAAATAAGGTTATCTGCGAATGATGAGAGATGATGTGAAGCTTGTCTCCAATCAGAAAAGACGGCTGTTTGCTTGATTTTGTATGTTATGGATGATGATGCTACTTTAGAATCCTATTTCGAATCATCATCGGAGAAGAAATCAAGATTTGATATGCTATGAGGTGAAATATGTCACGAAGCAAAGGATCAAAGGCATATCTTGAATTTGCCATGATATCTTGTCATGTTGAAGCAGGATTTTCCCCGCAATGGGGGGAATTCATGCAAATGTTTAAGCATGGGAACCAGATATTCATGCATATGATTACATTTCCACAGTTCAAAGCTCAGCATTGGGATGCCCTCATGGAAGGACGTGCTTTGCATAAAATTGGACTTAGCGGTTGCTATTTTCTTTCTCTTCTGGTAGATTACTCGTCAGAAAAAGCAAAGTTTCAATGAAGTTAAAACCCATAAGCCAGAAAATTCAGGCATAATATGACAATGTGGGAGGTTGCAAAGAGAATGAAATGACTTCGGAAATGTATGTCAGTACATTTATCTCCTTTGTTCTCATCATGAACCGAATTAATATTCTCGAATGGATTACAACGATTAATGCTTCTTTTTTGATGTAGATTGCACGGTAACTCCGATGAATAGCCTGCGTTTCATTCAAATAACTTAATACTATGTTTATGTCGAAGTTCAAAAGCAAAATACTTGCTTGTTATGGATAGAGTTCCTTGTATATATTAGTATATCGTTTATAAAGAAGAATATCTTGCGTATAACTATTTAGAATTTGATTCGTGTTGTATACAGATTCGGTATTTTGTATTTCAAATATATTAGTTTGATTGCCTCTGCAGGATTATGCCCCGGCAAATCACCCAATACCATAAATTGCTACGTATATTCGAGTAGCTAGCAATCTCTTGTATACATGTTAGATAATTCTGCGGCCAATTTTGACACATAATTAATACGAGTTGAGCCGGCTGTGATAGACAATCACAAGTTATTACCTCGACATCGCTACGACCAAGAGATTAGTATATGAGACCTCACGATCAAATATTACGTCATCGCAATCGCAGCAGCAATATTGCAATACCATATCCAGGAAGACAGGAAAGTTATTTCAGACCAATGGCTTGAGCAGCCTATGCTCCCACAAACAACCAAAAAATATGAATATCATAGAAAATCTTTGATCTCAAAATATCGATTATTATATCCTCTTACCACAATCACTATATGTTGTAACTAATTATATAAAAAAGAGTTTAGTTCTCGAGACTATTTCAAGCATGCCTTTTTCTATCAAGAATAGTTTTTGCACAAAGTTTCTAACTGGATAGAATCTTTGGAAAACGCCTGAGGTCAGTGTTCGTTTAAAGATTGTGCTATATCACTCTTCTAGCAAAACTAAACGGACTCCAGAATCTTAACCTCAAGCTTGCCGACAGTATCAATTACAAAGGCCATAGGTATCATATTACTGGAAATACATTAATCAACAGTAGAAGTGATGAATCTGACAATGAAAACAACACAACAATATGGATCACCAAAGATCAATTCATAGAGAAAATCGAGAGTCTGGCGAGGAGAACAAGATGTTGTGAGCCACCAGGGTCATTCAACTTCATGATAATTCCTGATCTATATTGGCTGCAATCAGCCCCCTACCAAATCATTATGAACTTGTGAAGATTGTCAGTGCCAAATGATCAATGTAGCCAAGCATTCACTCTTACTCGCATACATCAAAGCCACTATCACCTGTGCATGCAAAGAAACTATCCACACCCCTAATTACTCCAGAAAAATTGCTATCTTGTTGACCAGAGATCAACTCTAGAAGCTGTCGTGACCCACTAGAATACTGTAAAATTTGCTTCGTATCAAATTGCTCGATAGGAAATGTCCAGAACGGATCTATTTTTTTCTCAAAAAGAACCGTTACAATCGGGCAAACAGCAGAGCTGATGTCTCTCAGAATCTTGCCTTTTAATTGATCAAGACACTGGACAAACGATAAGAATACGGTGTCGTTGCTGGATGAAACACTATATAGTCAGCTATCAGAACACACCTAGGCTGAGAACAACTTACAGACTGTCACTGGTATAGACCGCTGATTCAGTAGCAATATCATCTACTGGTAATGGTAGCAATCCGATTATACCGTACCCAAACTTCCTAACCAAAATTTCGAATCGTTCGCCCAGCTTTCTGATTTTGCTGATATTTCGAAGCTTTTTTTGGTATTCTGTAGTACCAGGATCTAAGTTAGGATGCAACAGATTAAGCATTTTCTTCGTGACCTGGCTTTCATCAAGATTAAGAGGATTTCCCATTCTCGATGCACTATTTGTCAAGATACTTTGACTCGTGGTGTTGACAAATCCATCACTTGTTTTGTTATGTAACGAGCGACTTTCAGTATAAAGATGGTAAATGTGATACCTCCTCTCAAAAACATTATAAGCAATCTTCGTATTGAGATGCTCAACTTGTTTCATCCTCTCTACTATCGTTAAAGAGTTTGTTTCCATGGGTGATTTTCCGGCCACCGAGCGCCGTCTGATTTTAAGCAGGCTTCTCAAAGATACTAGTGACTCCCCACTCCCGATCGCAAAGTATAGCATCTTCAGTTGATTAAAGATAATGTCGTCTGGCTTTAGACCTGGAGAAGCTATTTTCATCGCCATATCAAAGTCATCATTGGTAAACGAAGAGCCCAAATTATGACATCGCTCTTTTTCAAGTCTCATATAATCACTCAGATAATCGGATATTGACACCCGACTATGAACGCTATCCATATGCGATTTTCTTTTTCTTTTCTTGATAGATATTTTAGAAGCATTTCCAGGCTCAGAGATAGGCATTGTTTGACAAGCGTCATGACTATGGGCTGAGCCACTGAAAAGCATCGGAATGGATGCCGTTGGGTCAACAGAAGATGCTGTGTCTAGAGCTGTGGCATCTTGTGTTTGGTTTGATGCGGCAGCATCCTGATATTGATGGACAATATCCGTAGCCTCGGAACTGATGGTTGTATTTAGAAAGTTATCGCCTGCTATATATGTGTCAGCGCAAGGCATGGCGTTCAGGCAAAGAGAAGTTTCTACAAAATACTGACGGAACACTTGAAAACAGTTATAATCGTCGATCGGATCTGCTATTAACATCTCTAACGAACTGTTTGCTAAATATGTGCTCGGTGTTTCGTAGCTGAATGTGCACTCGTCAGAGAAGCCTGGAACCATGACTACTGCATCTTCAGGAAAAATTTTCCTTGGATTTTTATCAAGAATCATAGGGTCTATGCTAAAATTATTGATTAGATTGTTTTTTATGCAGTTTTACAAGGATTTCATTCACAACTTACAGAAGACGGTGTACAACCTTCGTTATGATTGCAAAGTTCTGACCACAATCCAGCCAAGCAGCACCGATGATTGAACAAAGTGCTAGTCGCAAAGTAGTAGAGTTCGCTTTTCCATTCAAACTTTTATTCAATTTCAAGTGAGTAGCAATTCCAAGGAGATTTGCCCTTTCCTCCTGATGTTTCCTGCTAGCAATACAAGTTGACGTATCACTCGCCACAGCTTCCTTGGACGTTAGAACAGCACGTATCATAAGATTCACCGTTTAGAACGTACCGCGCGACATCCCATCAACAAGAAGCAGTTTATGTCGTATAACCAATGGAACAATACTATCTCCAATGTGGGCCAAGGTACGATTGCCCTCGTATTCATTCTTCTTTTCCCAGTCCCCAACTTTGTCTCCTGTGAATCCCGGCGTTATCAATGCGCTTTGAAGTAAATCATACTTGCAAAACATATAATCTATACTGCTTTGTAGCCATTTTAGATATTGTTCGTCCGTCATATCGATATTCCCGGCTATGGGTTGTAGAGGATTGATTAGTGATTCGATCATGTGGAATAAAGATATAGTAGACAAGGAAATGATATAAGTTCTACACGACAGAGATTTATCAAACAGGTTAATTTATATAATTCCGGAGATACCAAAAATCCCTCTATGAAACCTCTTTGGGGATTATCAACATGAATTTGTTGTTAGTTCCGCATTTGGCAAAGTGACCTACGCTTCGGCTTACCGGCTTCAGAAATTGAGTGGCCCGACCCGTGTTGGTTTCGGATCGCCCCCACACCCGTAGGATGAATCGGCCCTCCAATCAGATCACCATTTTGCGAGCTTTCTTCTGCTACCTTTACTGGATCAACATAATTTATATCAAACTAAGCTCACATTGTCGAAATTCATCATCAAATGGGGGTTTGACTATACTGTATATATGGCTCATGTAAAAGGTAGAAATAGATGTTGAACCGATCCTCAACGGAATGGTCAATATCAGCGATATAGCTTTCTTTATGCCAAATTCTCTTTCGTGTCTGGAATTGGGAGTCAGCTTAGCTTATAATCTTTGGATTCAATTGAGCTCTTGTAAAGCTAATATTGAATCATGAATTGATCTAAAGATATGCTCCTCGTGCTGCTGCGGTGATCATTCTTTCCACTATCTGTGGATAACAAAATTTGCGTGGCAAAACTTTAGAATTGTTCGGCTTGGATTTTCCTCTGCGATAGGCCTTCGTGTTATCCAGTATTGATGGTAACACGTATGTGGTTGTGGTCTTGTGAAGTGCTTTTGCGTTCAAACTATGCGCTGTACGCGCTAGTGATTGGATATGCTGTGCAATATCCGTCGTCTTTTTACCTTTCTCAAATACGTGCTTTTGGAAAAACAATTTTCTGGTGAATAAGATTTTCAGTCACTCAAGTGTTGATTGTACGTTACCTGGCAAAGGTCTGGGAGCTGACGTAAGTGTAAGGTTTGAATCAATCTTGATTGGGGGTTGACGACCTCTTTGGATTGTACAGGATGGTATGTTTTGACTAGTTTTGCCTTGTAATTTGTTTGATTGAAAATATTTCAAGTAAAGCGTCAAAATATCTTTGTGTATCCGTCGATATCAAGATTATTTGCTTTTAGTTATCCAAGTCATCTCATTGTTGTGTGTGTGAAACCCGCCACTAGATTTATAGTTGAGCGTTCGGGGTGGAAACCTTTATTTTTGGGGCTTAGGATACCCCTCAAAAGAGCTATTTGACTGATCTTGCGTGTGGTTGTTCGTTCTAATCTCTTGGCAATACATGAGAGAAGCACTATAGGCCTTCAGGAGCGCGCAGATGAGCGACCCTATTTTCCTCTCTTAGGTATTACAACTACCCCCACAAACTTTCACGCACTAGAAGATTGGCTGAGTCTCAGACACTTGAGGTGTATCCATCTGGAATTAGGACCTTTATACTTCCAGTATACTCTCAGTATCCTTATGTTGATTTGATCCATGCAGATTGAGGTGCCGAATACACCAATTATACTTGGATCAACCTCTTTCTCTGAGAACGTGAGATTTCATGATATAATGCAGCATCTATACCGACAAAGAGCTCTTTGATAAGATGAATGTTCTTACTTTGTTGAAATTTCTGACTACCTCGGAAATCCCCATTAGGTGGGCGATCACTTCGGATACCGAGAAGATTAGAGAGCGTTCACTCGAGTACGAGGAGACGGCAATGATGAATAGTGTTCCTCAAGTACAAACGCTTCCGTGCACACAAAAGTGGTCTAACTATGCGGTGTCTGAGATACCAGGGCTGGTCACAAACCTGATTCAGGGTGAGCAGGTCAATATGACTTAAGCTAGGAAGTGGTCTCAAAGCTACGCCCATACGCGAAGGCGACAAATCGATGGGGAGCATATCAGAGAAGACCGAACTGCTTCGAACGGAAGTGCTAGGCCGCTTTATCACAGATCATGAGCCACCTCAGGACACCCTGCGTGGGTGAACATACATGTGTATTACTGGTAAAGGCAAGCTGTCTTAATGATCGCCGCTAGGATCTCACGCGATTCTGGCGCGTTTTCCGTCTATTCTAGTGGGGCAATTTAATTAACCTTCCTCATATCAAATAAGCGCGTATTTGTTAAGGTTATTGCTATTTTTACGTATCTTATCCACTTTCTACTTGTGTTTTCTCCGCTTTCAAGATCTTGCACTCGGACAGCTGATGCTGCTAGAAGCTTGGGCTCGGCTTCGTCAGAGCTCTTTACTCCTCGGCAAAGACGTGCTCCGTTCCTCCCATATATCGCTCCTTTGAGCGACCGGCCAACCTTAAAGAGATAGACTTCAATATCTTCTTCAAACTTTCATCGAGTTCATATGATGATAGATTGTTTGCATACGGAGCATAGCAAATTCGAAAATGGCGCGTTGATACGCGAACTCTCTACCCCTTCGGTGCAGCTGCTTCGTTGTTGCAGATGCTTTTTAAACAGCACTCGCGGCGCTGCTCCGATTTTGTATGCCAGCATTCTGCTGGCGCAGGAAAGAGATGTGATCCCATCAACTTCAATGGCACATGCCAAGGTTAATAGAATCGATCCCCCCAAGAGGGCGGTGCTGGTCTCCCGTAGTAGGCTCGGATAAATTTGTGTTCAACCAGTAATGATCAAAACCTAATGAGTCTGAAGATGGTATTCAAAAGTCTACAGAAAAGTAATATAAGAAAAGAACAATTCACTTCAATGCGGAATACTGCTATTCATTACCGAGTTTCGAATCCAATCCTAGAAGTGTTATACCCAGCAACATATCGATTCCATGTCCAAAACTTTCATTACATTTAATCTCCATTCAATACAACACAACACCACAGAAAGTGATAAGAGTGGGATGTGATGCTAGATATATTATTGAGATGGAGAAGAGAAAGAGAAGAAATAATATTTCGTTTTATCGATGGATTGATTATACACATATGATAGCAATATTCAAAAATTGAAATGAATCACCTTCCAAAAAAGCAAAATGGCCTAAGAAACCACCCGAGTATATAACCATACCCCTTTCGAAATCCAGAAGAAAATTCCTCACCAACTCTACAACCAACACAATCAGTCGTCACACTCGCCAAAACATCATTGTATCAAGAAAACTCAATAGTAAAGATATCAAATGTAATGATACTGATCATCATCACCATCTACCAAATCTTATTTATCATTTACTTCTCCTCTTATTTCTTATCTCTTTCCGACACCGCCTCTTTCTGTACCCAAAACCAATATTCGACGCCCAACTAACTAGCTCACTTATAAACAAATCACCTCCCTAACCCCTGATCATAATTTCCTCCATCCGAAATTTTGACGAGTATATACCCAGCTTGATGAATCTACCCGACAAAGCAATGAAGCCTTTTGAGAAAGGCCTCGCCAGTAACCGTTAGAGGACTAGCGGCTATTTCGCTTGTAGTCACTCAGACGTCATACATGCGATTTCTCGCTTCGAGTGCACCTTTAATAGCTAATTCACAAGTTAGCAACCAATCTATGTTCAGAAATCACACTCTTCCATCTAGTAAAAGAAGAATATCAAACAAAATCAGATAACTTACCATCACAACTGTCCTTAGCATCACCAAAAAGCATCCTCGTACCCGGCATATAGAACATCGGATTAACCACATCAGCATATCCACTTGCCATACCTCTCTTCATAACAATAACCTGTTTACTCTTCCATGCATGTAAAACAGGCATACCAGCAATACTAGAGCCCGGTTCAAGAGCAATAGGATTAACAGTATCATTTGCGCCAATGACAAGTGTTACATCTGTTTCTCCGAAATCATCATTAATTTCGTCCATTTCGAGGACAATATCATATGGTACGCTAGCTTCTGCGAGAAGGACATTGCATTGACCAGGCATGCGACCAGCAACTGGATGAATGGCAAATCTGACGTTGATACCTTTACTCTTAAGCATTCGAGTGATATCGCTGATAGCATATTGAGCTTTTGCAACTGCCATACCGTATCCAACGACGATGATAACACTTTCGGCATTTTCAAGGGATTCCACAACTTCATCGATATTAGTTTTGGTGATTTGTCCTTCTATTTTATGCTCAGTCTCCGCAGTAGGAGCTATTCCTCCAAAGAGAACGTTTCCGATAGACCGATTCATCCCAACACACATAATGGAAGATAGAATCGAACCACTGACTCCTATCAAAGAGCCAACTGTTGTTAGAAGCGGCATATCGAGCATGAAGCCTTCAGATACAATTGCGAATCCAGAATATGCGTTGAGCACAGTAATGACGACAGGCATATCTGCTCCACCAATAGCAGCAGTAGTTGTGTAACCTTTGATAAAACTTAAAACTGCATTACCACCTAGACAGCATGCGGCTATCACTGGCGCAGCAGGTGCAAAAGTAATGAAGGCTGCCATGTTGGCCATATTAAGAGCAAGCAGAGTAGAGTTTACTGAATGTCTGGGACCTGATAGTCTAATTGGTTTGGAAGACATTCGACCAGCGAGTTTGAGGTAAGCTACTATGGATCCGGTAAACGTAACACCGCCTAGTAGATGTCAGCAAACAGCAAGAATTATAAAAAGTGATTAATTACCAATGAGAACACCCATATATCCAGCTATAAGGTGAAGTTGCGAGATGTCACCGATATCTGCCATTACTGATCCGAAACTGGTTAAAACGGCAGCAAGACCAACCACAGAGTGGAGTGCCGCGACAGTTTGAGGTAAATCAGTTGCTGTGGTGCGTCTTCCAATTCTCAGTCCTATTACGAACAATTGTGAGCTGTATATTTTATACAAGAGAGCAGCAGTTACTTACCAATGATGGCCCCACAGCCAGCAACGGCTGCGAATTGTGCAAGCACTTCAACGGGGAATCCAACCGCGGCTAGAGATGCAAGTATACCTACTCCAACACCCAGAATGCCCAAAAGATTGCCCTGTCGCGCCGTCGTTTGAGAAGCAAGACCAGATAACGACGCTAGTAAAGTAAGCAGTTGTTCAAGTGGAAATCTAACAAGTGGAATTACCAATGCACAGAAGACTGCTAGCAATATATCCTGCTTGAACCAGCCCAGCCATACCAGTGGATGCAGCGGCTATATATCCGGCACCAAAAACAACAGCAGGTACAGCGTATAACCATGGGTATTCCTTTGGATCGGTTGGTCCTGTAAGGAGTCAGCGAAGTCGGTATTGAAACATGTGTAATACTTACGCTTAAACATATCTAACATTCGTTTGGTAATCAGAAATCCACCAGAAACATTTACAAACGCAAGCATTACAGACAAAGCACCGAGAGCTTGGGGAATAGTATGTGGTACAAGACCACCTCCCATGATGAAGAAACCACCTACGCCGACCATACCTGAGATCGCATTTGTAACACTCATGAGTGGAGAATGTAAAGCAGGAGCAACTCCCCATACAGTTCTATAGCCAATCAACCCAGCCAGTGCAAATGTGAAGACATTGTTCATGAATAAAGGCCCAGTTGCTTTCCCAAGAAGAAGTGCAAGACTCATTCCACCGGTGATAGCTCCGACTTCACGTGTTTGCTTTTGCCAAGGAGTCAAGGGTACGTTCTTAGCAGCTGAAGCGTTAGCATCGATAGCTGAGGCAGCTTTTGGAGCTGGAGGAGCTGGTCGTGGTGCAGTGGGTATGATTTCTCCATTGTGAGTGACAATTGAACCACGAACGACTTCATCCTTAAGATCAATTCCAAACTGTTTCTCTTCAGGGGCAATGGAAAGAAGGAATTTAGTAATATTATTCGAATACAAGGTGGAAGATTGAGTTGGTAATCGAGAAGGAAGATCAGTATATCCTGAAGTAAAATTAGCTTTGCCTCGGAACGCATCAGACCATGCCACCAACCTATAATCTTGACTCCTTTATGTTCAATCAATTGACCTGGAACAGTAACATCACAATTGCCACCTGCTTCAGCTGCCAAATCAACAATGACAGAACCAGGCTTCATTGCTGCAACCATCTGCGAATCTGGTCAGAACAATTTTGACAATTTTACGACTATAAAAACTTACATCTTCGTGAATCAACTTAGGAGCAGGACGACCAGGAATCAATGCAGTGGTAATGATAATATCAACCTCACGACATTGTTCCATAAATAACTTCTTTTCGGCCTCCATGAATTCTTTTGACATTTCTTTGCCATAACCACCGGCACCAGATCCATCTTCTTTAAAATCTACCTCGATGAATTCGGCACCTAACGATTGGACTTGCTCACGTGCAGCTGATCTGGTATCAAATCCTCGTACGATTGCTCCCATGCGTCGAGCCTAATTAGGAAAACCATTAATATCTATGTCACAAAGTAGGGTCAAATGCTTGCCGTTGCAATGGCACTTAAACCAGCCACACCAGCACCGATGACAAGTACTTTACAAGGAGGAACCTAAATAAATTAATGACGTCAACTAAAAGCGGATACTCGAGTAAGTACCTTTCTAAAAGTCACTAAATTAGTCTAGAACGCTAGCAACATATCAACATTTACTTACCCAGCAGCAGTGACTTGGCCAGTCATGTAACGACCAAAATGATTCGAAGCCTCTAGGACAGCTTTATAACCGGCGATATTAGCCATAGAACTAATCACGATAGTATGTGAGCTTTCATGCTTTCTAAGCTGCGATAAATAAGCCATTCATACCTCAAAGCATCAAAAACTTGAGCTCTGGAAATTCTAGGAATCATATCCATCGCGAAAGAGGTGACCTCTCGATGCGCCAATTTCTCCACGACATTTTTGTTTACTCCTGGATATAAGAACGAGATAAGAGTTGCATTGGTCTTGAGTGAATCGACTTCATTATCAGGTCCCTCCACAGTTGGTGCGCGGACCTTCAAAAGAATATCACTCTCTGACCAAACATTCTTTCTATTTACTATTTTAGCTCCCGCCGTTTCGTATGCCTCGTCTGTGAATTGAGCTTCGGCTCCAGCACCTCGCTCAACAAGGACTCTGGAGAACCCTTTCTTAATCAACAATTGTGCATTTTGTGGAGTAATCGCAACCCGTTTTTCGTTTGGGTATGTCTCGCGAGCTATACCAATTGTCAAATTCGAGTATGGAGTGGTGATCAAATCCGGCGTAACAGCAGCAGAGGAAGCTGTAGAAAGAGATGCGGTATTTGGGACAGCAGATGTGGTAGAAGAAGTAGTTGTCGATGCATATCTCTTGTACTTTTTCTGGTTTGTTGGATAAAGTGATCGTACGTGAGTGGCTACGAAAAAGACATGTTAGTCTCAATCGAGTAATTGATAGACGGAATCGTGAGCTAGAGCGAACGCCAGGAATGAAAACATACCAAGACTGCCACCAATCTTTGGACCCGGCGAGAGTGCTTCCGAATAATTATTAGCACGACACAACCTAAGTATCGGCTTCACTGTTGAAGGCCAGGTCATCTTTTAGACCCGCATCTGTAATTGTACAAATTGTTTTTGGGGAAAGAGAAGAGAAAATAAGTTGGTGGGATGTGTTCTAGGGAAAGGAAGAATGGTTCTTGTAAGGGTGTAGGTTAGAAAAGTTGATGGATTCAAGAAGAAGCGATATGCTAATAAGTCTTAGGATTGCATGAATGGGGAATGAATGTTTAGATCATCTGTCACAATGAATTCTACCGTCTTGTTGTACTATTTCCGAATGAATGGAAAGAGCGTTGGGTGAATGCAGTAGAGAGTCTTGATAGGATTGATGTTCTTCGGATTGATCGTATCATATATATGAGACGGAAGAAGGGTGCAACGTTATCGTAGCTAAAACTGGGTATACATGGAGGAATGGTTACCTACCTGTCTACCGACCTACTTGCATGGTTTCCTTTATAATGTAAACAGGCTGATATGTTGGGATCTGATCTTTTTGTATGGAAGTGACACTTCAATGACACTTTCAATGGAACTCTCTTGTGCCAATCAGCCAATTGAGCTCTCAGTCATAGGTTTAGATTTACTGATGGCCCTTGCTATTCCATACCCATGAGCTATTCCTGGCTATTCCCCCGCAATGGATTCACATTTCCCCGCATTCCTTTCAAGGTATTTGGTTTATTGATTGACCGAGAAGCCCGCAAGTAAGAAGAAGAGGCCGTCTTGAGTTGGTGTTACAAGAGGAATGAGAGAGAAATGGAATTGGAAATCAGAAAGCTTGGAAATGTGGTGAAATAGAGACAAAATCATCCGACCAACTGTTAAATGCGATAAAAACATCAATCACGATACATATTGATTCTTATTTGGCTATTTGAAGGTCCGATTGATGATGCAGTGAAATGAAGAAATGCAAGCCTCATAATGCTGTAAGACAGAATGGAATCTTCTGTGCACAAGCCACGGAATGAGCACATACACGTGATGATGCAGCGATCAATTAATCTAGAACCAATTTCTGTTCTCAGTTGCTTCATTTTGTTCAAAGAGCAAGCCGGTGACTCTACATAGTATCATCTGCTTGAACACCCAACATATCTCTCCCACTACTCGTGATTCAAATCAATACAACACGTGATGACCCATACACCATTTTCCCCCACTCTGATCTTCCATAGACCTTATCACTCCCCAGCTTCATTCTCTATCAACACCAAACTTATGACAAAGATTTTGAAACGCCAACTCTAATTCGAAAAATCTATTCTCCTCTTTCTCGAGATCTCGCTGCAATTCCAAAACTCGATCATGGGAGCGCCGTTCCTCCACCACGCTTCGAATGAGCTGCTCTTCCTTTTTCGCAGATGCAATCACTTGCTCGGAGTATCTGTCTTCAAACATACGGCATTTTCTCTCCAGCCCCTGATTGTTGTATTCTGATTTATTGAGACGTGCTTCGAGATCCGCGGTAGCTTTTGCGATTCCTTTCTTCATTCTATCAGCTTCCGCATGGGTGCTTGTTCGGCTAGCGTTGTTGATAGCTCTTGCGTCTCGCAAATCGATCTCTAGGGTTTTGATTGTCTTGGAACAGTTGCTATGACTCTGTTGTATCTCTGAGAGAGCCTTCGAGGTGTTTTCGAACTCGGAGACCTGCGTGGCAAGAGCTTCTGTGGCTATTGATAGCTCTTGTTCCTTTGCCGTTAGAGCCGCAGTATTCTTGGCCAGTTTGGTGTTAAGCTTTGCCAGTGCTTTGGTAGAACCTTGTTTTATCTTTTGCAAGTCTGCAGAAGCTTGCTCTGCCTTGGTAGTAGCAGCCTCCAGATTAGCAGCCAACTGCCCAAGTTCCTTCCTGTGCTTGGTCTCAGTATCTAATTTCGCTTGACGAAAGGCCTGTTCTTGTGCTATCGCATCTGCTTGGAGTTTCTCGATTGTTTCTAGTAATTCATCCGTCTTCTTTTCGAAGATACTGACATTTCTATCCACAATATCTGTCAAAGCCTTCCCGAGCTTCACCTTCAATTCCTCAACGCTCAGCTTGGACTTACGTGGAACGAGTTGAGGTTCAAGTTCGTTCAATTTTTCACCTTCGAGACGGTATTTGCAGATATCGGTTGGATGGTTTTCGGTGTGCTCTTTAATCTGTTGTGTGGTATTAGCTATAGTATGATATTGATAAGCTGCTGGGCATAATTTACCTCATATAGAGCTTGGAGGAGGGGGTTTGTTCCTTCAGAAATTTTTTGGTACGAATTTTTATTTTCAACACTGAGAGTATTTCAGAGTGTAGTACTTCGAGATATGATTCTTAGACTGAGAAAGTTCTTCCAGAGGGAGACAGTGTAAGAGAGGATGATGCAGAAAGAGACAGTCCAAAGAAGATGCTGTAAAAGGAAAAATCTTTGTATCAAGAAAATTTGTTGTAATCCAGAAAAGTAAATAACAAGATGCGACCAAGTTCCCTTTCACTTCTTTCTAGTCTCGGGGTACAGCTCCCTCATCTCCGAGATTTCGGCCTAACAAGCTTCTTAATTGTATGTCAGTAATGTCTTCTCTGGGGTGAATCTTTAAAGGTGAACGATGGTGAGTGAACTTTGATACATGAATAAAGTCCGAGCTTGATGCTATATCTTGATAATACCTAGAGATGTTGTTCCTATCGTCTTGTTCTCATCCATCAAGTTGATTGATGGTCTGAATTTGAAGAATGAACATATCATTTGATCCAATGTGATGAATGAATTATCTTAATATAATCATCGTCTGATCAGACCTTTCGCTCTGATTCCCTCGAGACAATTCTTGAAGATAATATATATCCAAATAAATTGGACTAAAGTATTCTTATTCAAGATATCAGAACATATACCTTTCTTGTTAACATGCTACATATATACATATATATACAGAACTCTCACCTCTTCATTAAGAAATAGATCCCACTCATTCTCGCCCTCTTCTCATTACTAAACCCTAGATTTTCCTATCCTACCCTCAAGGGCAGTCGGAAGTGATTCTATTTTCCCTCTTTTCGGGGACAATACATCGCAGGGTCTCGTCTAATTAGTCTGTCATATATGTCAATCTTCCATCTAATCTCATGGGAAATGTCATTCTCGTTTCTTCATTCAACGCCAGCTCCTACTAAGTCATTCATCTTATAGGAAGATTATAAAGTTGTCAGTTCGAATATCGATACGTTACTAATATTTTCCCATTTGATAATGAGATGTTACAGAGTTCTCAGCTAAAAAACACATGAGATAATATTTTGCTAATAATTATACAGTGTTTTAATACATTATAAATTTAACACCCGGGACTAGATACTACTTGGTATTCTCTTCATATTGTTTTACAAAAATATCGTCTCAAATCTATAGATAGTAATCCATGACTATCCCCATAACATTAATACAACGCTCTCGTCTGATCGTATAACGCTAAATCTTCTCCCCCTAACATTTATCATGAAATTTAATGCACACAGAACCCCGACTTCCTCAACATTCTAACTTGATACAAATATATTTCCCACTACTCACATAATGATGATCGAGATTCTCATCTTAGTGCCATGAAGCACCATCCCTCGCCTGAAAGACAGACGAGACATACTGATAAAATCATTTGACGATCTCACATAGATGATGCGAACTCCAAAAGAACCAAACTCTACTGGAGAGTAGGTCGGAAGAAAATGCTGAATCTCTTCTCAATAAGACGAAGATACTTCTCTTCGTTGCTAGACCCTTTATATACCTACAAATGGTATGTGCTCCATAGAGCTCCTTGCAATAAATAAGGAGAGACGGTCATGGTCGGAATTCTTCCCGAAGATTCCCTGGAAACAAAGTATACGCACTCATTAGAGAATATGACGTGTGATATGGCTGAAAAAATACTATTGTTTGTAGAAGAAGCTTTACAAGCTATTCCAAATTTGTCATTTGGCTTTCTGCTTCACGTGAAAGTATGTAATTTTGTCTGAGAAGAACAGTGCAACAGAAAAATAAATGGGACTCTCACAAACAACAAGGTGATGAAAACGGGGAATTCCAAAGCAATTTTTTATATATCTAAAACTATTGTGGCATATGTAACAAGAAATAGCAAAACCAATGGCACGAACAAACGATAATCCCGTACCCAACCGCCTACCCCTCTATTCTATCGTTTTCTAGGCCCATCAAACTTTGACAAGGATGGTAAATAACAGCAGATCAACAATACAAAAATGCAGACAAAACAAAACAAACAGAATAAAACAGCAACGAAGATAAAAAAAAATAAAAAAAATCATACCTCCCCCAAGCTGCCTACCTCTGTTCAATTCATCCACTTCCAGCTGGTTTATCTCGCTTCGACCTCTTAACATCCGCTGACGCATCTCCAACCTTTTTTGTACTCTTGTGTCGTGGTGCTCGATTATCACTACTAGAAGAATTTCGATCATCCGACGAAGTCGATGGAACAGTACTTAGAGAATCTTTTCTCCCCTGAGAATCGGGTTTTCTTGATTCTTTACTTTTGTGGCTTGAGGAAGCTTCTACTCTCTTTCCATCTTTGATAGAAGCTCTCTCGCTTTTGTCTGTATCGACTCTTTCGCGGCGGGGTCCACGTATTGGTATCCGTACCCCATGTTCGGGACTGGAACTTGACGCCAAATTTCTGGGATCATCTATGGATGTATTGGCTCTTCTAGAATCTCCTCTAGAGGATGATCCAGGTACCTTGATTGGAGCGCTTGAATGTAGCGAGCGCGGCTTTTCAGAGGTCTCACGTTGTCCTCCTCTGTCTTTCTCACTATCACCCCTTTCAGATCTTCTTGGTACTTTTCCTTTACCTTTCTCTTCACCTCTTCTTTCAGATTCTTTTGCTCTTTCTCTTCGCTTGTGTCTTTCTGCACGCTCTTCGGGAGTCTCTTCCTGGCTTGAAGGCTGCTGATCTGATTTATCGCCCCTTCCATCTCTGCTTCTATTTCTGTCGCCTCTTCTATCCTCACTTGGGGTTCTACGTTTCGACCCACTCGTTCCTCCTGTTGCTTTACCTGAAATTCCGTGTGGAGCTCCATCACTTTGCGATTGAGATTCACTAGCTGTAGTAATTGCCGCATCCGAACCATTCGGGTTATCCTTAATCAGATTGATTGCGGCTTTTATAATTTTGGCATCGCAATTCAACCCCGGGTCTCTATATTCGGCCCATGTCCGTTTTTTCGGTTCCCACAGTCCCACCATCTTGGCCCTTTCCATATCTCTGTTTCTTTCCATAATCCAAAATCTCATTTCTGTTGATGCGCATGTGACTGCATACAAAAAATGGATATCAGGGTTATCCTTTAGCCATTGGCGACAATATCCTTCTACTTGATTCTCGAGCGCAGTAAGTTCACCTGGTGTCATGTATTCTCTACCTTTTGGATGTCTTTTTGCTTCAATCATCACCAAAGGCTGTTGGAGCATGTAATGAGTCATATAACCCAGCAAGTCATCCACTTGTTCTTCTGGACCCTTTCTTGCACTGACTCCGAATTGAGATTTCAAGAAAAACCGTTTTTCCGAAAATTCTGCTTTTAACCATAGCTCAAAGAATCCTACTGTTGCAGATTCCTTTGCATTGTTTCCCATGATATCAAGCCTTGCTCTTGCGGAGAGATAAGCTTCCTCTAGACGACGAGTAATAAGACCATGGTTTTTCCAAGTCACTTTGTCGATATATTTTTTCCAAGCGTCCTTCGCCTTTCCATACGCTGAGCTTGCCGATCCTTTATTCAAGTTGGATCGAACACGTTCATAAAATTCTACTTTCTCTTCAATTTCTTCCGTCTCCTTTTCTCTTACATCAGGGAGGACAGGCACCTCTTGCAGCGGAGATGGCCCCCTCCTCCAGTGAGTTGCAGACATTTTTCGTAAGAAGGAAAGAATAAATTTTCTAGAGATAAAAAGTTAGTATGTATGATATAATCATATTCAGCAGTTCAAGGCTGGGTCAAGGTTGCGATCCACTTACTTTACTGAATTGCAATATATATATGAACTTGCAAATTTGCATCCGCCGTGTCCGAACTAATTCTTCAGGAACAATATCGATTTCAACTCAAAAAATTCGACTTTACTTCAAACAAATCACAAGAGCAGTGATTGTAAATTCAATTCGTGTGATGGTACTATGATACGGATTGATCATCGGCGAGTTGGCTCTCTTTATATTGAAGTCCCAATGCTTCATAAGAATAACATCCAACAGATACATTGCCGTTACGTAAAGGCCTCATCCCCAATCACCGGACCTACTACTATTCTCAATAACTCTCACGTATATGCTCGAGTCTATAGTGTTTGACAAAAGAGGCTTAAGATTCTAACGTGAAAGTAACGACACTCCGGGCAAAATCTGGGGCGCAGAATCGATCTCGTAAAATTATTATCCGAGAGACAAATTCTTACTGGATGAAACCAATGCTTTTCATCATCTATAGAACGCAGATGGATAATTACCATGCTCTTCATCATCTATAGGACACAACTGAGGTCTCCTAGATAGGTTTGTGGGGTTTTCCCTCAGCTTTTTGCCAAATCCCGCTTCGTAGCACGACCGGTTGTCCTCCAATTGCCCTGCTATCATACATGGGAAAAGGGCGCCAAGGGCCCATAACAGGCGACCCTAAACGCCAACCTTATTGCTCGTAAATCGATTTGGTCGAGGTGGGTCCTGTAAGTAAGCAGTTTACGGCGCTAGACGCTACAGCCTTTCACGGCGGTTACTTGACTACAAGCGAGATGACAAGAGATAGACAAGAGGATATGGCCCGAAATGGAAGGCCAACATGCGAATGGATAGCTATAAAATTTTCGTTACATAACTTTTGAACTACTAGACTCGGGATGAAAATCATGAAGAACCTTCTGTAATGACGATTTGGAACATTTAACAAACATCCTATTTATTCTTCCTGAATTTTTCTTCCCTCTTGAAACTACCACACCAGTTGATGATAATTCTCATTAAATACTACCACCCACTAGAGCGTATCGACATCATTACAATCCGCAAACTCATTAGTCTGTATAGCTCGCATTGAATCTCAAAATTGGTCCCAGCCACGTATCATAATCTTCAATATTTCCCATCTCTCCACCCCATCTCAGCACGCTTGCAAAAAATCGATAATCACCATCTCCTACATTGTAGCTCAATCCATTATCACCAGTAACTTGTGCACTCGTCCAATACTGGATATAGTTACCTGGCTGTATTGGGCCATTTGCTACCGTCGCCGTACGGTTCGTGTAAGTTCCAAAAGATGGATATCCAAAGATCGATGAGTTGGGAGTGGATTGAGAGGAAATGTAGGGGAAGGTTTGAGATGTGTTAAATGCGCGTGTATTAGCTGTAATATTTGTATCGGCGGGCAGGAGATCAAATCTGAATGCAAGTGTATATTGTTGTGGAATATCAGCAGCTATTCCATATTGTCTGGTGGGATTGATCTCGAGGAATCCAGTATCCTTTTCCGGTGTTCCAGCTGAATTGAAACCAGCAACCTGGATAACCGAGATGTATGATGCATTGAATACTGAATAGGGAGGTCCGATGTAGGGAACTGTATATGTTTCACCGGCAGAAGAGCTGACTTTGATGAAACCGCCGAAGACGGGACGATTTGATGCAACGATGCCTATGGGGGGAACGATAGAAAAATCGATAGTTTGAGACTCACCACCTGCGAGAGTGACAGTAGGGGTGGGGAAAACACCAGTTCCGTAAAGCGCAATCTGGTTGTAGTTTCGTCCGGACAATTGGCCATCCGTGTAGCCAGCACCGATATGAGATAGAGTGTAGGTCTTACTAGATCCTGATGTATTATCAATGGTGATATTTGCAGCACCAAAAACAGTGTGCGTACTATCATCTCCAAGAACGATCTGCCCGGGAGAGATTGTGGTTTGCGCATAGATGGCATCATATGCATTGATGAGACCCGCACCCTGTTGTGCAGTCGCGGAAAGGATCGTGCTATTCCAAACCCAATTGACTGGCCTAGCTGTGGTTTGTAGCAGATCCAATATTTGAGATATACTAGCGGTGGGAAACTGGGATTTAACGAGCGCAAAACATCCTGCAACATAGGGAGTGGCCATTGAAGTTCCAGATAGAATCGCGTAATTGGAATTTACGCTTAGAGGATAGGTCGAGAGGATATGTCCGCCAGGTGCAGAGATTTGTGGTTTTAAATCATAAGTGAAATACGTTGGACCGAAATTAGAGTAATAATCAACCAAGCCTCCTGAGTGTTGCGGAGGGCTCTTGAATTTATTTCCCGTGAATGTTAAAGTGTGTTTAGGAAAGCCTCCAACCGAACCATAATTGTTGACGAGAGTAATTCCATCATCGGTGTTGAGATTGATGTATTGTACTGCGCCAAAGTATGAAGGACTGAAGACGTTATACTCGAGTAAGTAAGAATTTGCAATGTCTGAATTGTAGCCCATGACATAGACAGGTTTTACCTTACTTGAACCCCAATTCGAAGCAATCGAATTCGGATTGCAGTAAGTAGTCGTTTTAAATGCCTCGAAAGCAAAGATTGTGGTATTTAAAAGACCACTTTGACTGACGGTATTGAGAGCATTAGTCCATGCTGAGCTATCACACCCATCGGATACAAGATATACATATACAGAAACAGTGAGGTTGACTGGCCAAACAGATGCATAGCCGAGAGTAGAATTGGCAGAATCCACGGCCGGATAGACAAGCGGAAAATTTGTGTTTGCAATGGCTCCAACAGCGATGGCACCAGGTTCCGTGGAAGGGTAATCTGCAGTGAACAACTCAGTAGCATATTGACCTAGAGAGCCTTCATTCCCGACTGCGATAATCACAGCAATGCCGGCTTGGGTAATGCTCTGTACAACAGAAGCCAATGGATCTTGAGTTGAAGGGAATTCAGTTCCAACCGCAAGGGACATGCTGATAATATCAACACCATCTTCTTGTGCTTTCAACATGCCGGCCATAATAGTGTCACTACCACCTGCATTTGCGCAATCAAAAGTACGGTACATGTATAAATTAGCGTCAGGAGCGACGCCGCTGATTGGAAAGTAGCCATCTTCAGATATGGGATCCATTCCAAGAATACCTGAAGAACATTAGCTTTGAATTAGATAGCGAAGGGAGCAGAGCCAGCTCACCTGACACGTGGGTTCCATGTCCTCCAGTCAGACACGTAGATAAAGGGTCTGAACTTTCCCCCAAGGTTCCGTTATCGTATACGAAAGAGTATCCACCAGTGATTTTGAAACCAGTTCCAAATCCTCCACCTAGTGCAGGATGGCGATAATCAACCCCGGTATCTACAATCCCAATTTTGATTCCTTTGCCTTTGATGCCTTTTGCATGTAGCTTATCAACACCCCCCATCTCGAGAGCTGAGGTCAAATCTCCTGTTCCAGTCACTGTTGATTGTCTTTTTTGTACCAACAGAAAATCTGCATTGGAACTATCCTCGTTGGTGTAATTTGAAAGTACACCAGGATGAGGGACTTCGTAGACTGGCCAGACACCCACTACTCCAGAGATTTCTGAAAGCTGTCGTTGCAAGTCCACACTGGTGCCACTTTGGGTGACAGAGATAGAAAGGCCTACAAATGCTATAGAATCGAATTCGTGACGGACATCGTAGCTGATTGACGCCGCACGTTTGTGGAAGGCGTTGCGGAGATCTCGTTTGGATATAGAGGTACTAACTCCCTTTTCCAGTTCAATGAAGAATGCCTTATCAACCGTGTTGACTTTCGAATATAAGGTACTATCATCTGTGTTTATGTATCCCAAGTTACTATCTAGTAAAGTGACACCATTTACAGCAGCAACGAATGTTAGTAACGATGAAGAAAGAAGCATATTTCGGGTCTTCAGAAGAATCCAAATAACTAGATGACACCCTCTTCGGACGACCGATGAGTGATGATCAGAGCGTCTTTATAGTTTACTCGCACTTGGCCGCTCTGGACCATCACATTGTGGAATTGCGAAGGAGGGGGGGAGACAACGATTCGGACGGCCCGCAACTCGTTTGGCTTAGCAATACTGAAATGTAATCCACTTAATTTTCAGACAACTGTCACTGGAGTTTTGATTCACCTAACGTCATATAACTATCGACAGGGTTGAGAAGGACCGTTTGTAGATTCCAGAGGCTCAGTACCAACGCGATGATACATGATGATTGGATAGAATGCATATCAAGGTCGGGATTGAAGCTCGATGAAAATTCGACAATTGTCGGTCTTGGCTAATATTTGATTCAATACTGCATGTTGATGAAGTGATCTTGCACAGATTCGCATGCATATGAGATGAAAGTTAAGAAGATACTAGGATTTAGACCGGGGATGGTTAGACCTTCAAGAGGCTTGCAAATTAAAGAATGGAGACAGGAATATGTGAGATTAAGCTTTATTCCCACAATTTCCTTCCAGACTTACGAGATCTGACCCAATCCCGGCTGGTGATTATACATGCATTCAAAGTTGCTGATTTGAAATGGGCAGAGATGAATTTCACGACACTCGATGTCTAGATAACAACCCTAAGTCTTGACAGGGAGCAAGGATTTGACCAATCGCGAGGCGCTGATATTGTACTGAAAACCCTCAATTGATGTAGGGGTCTTTATCAAAAGATGGAACCAAATTGGTTGATCGTCTCCTGTCCACTGGGACTCGAGCAGGGTGGCAGGCACTCTATGCATCTAATAGTCAAAAGAGAAGGTGCTATACACACTGGACACCGTTATTTCGTAACAGTAAAACGCATTTGATAAGGAAAAGCGGTGACTTCTGCTGGACAGAATATGTCATATTTGTTCATGTAACTGTAGTTAGATAAATACACT